TGAATATGCATGAATAATATTTGAGAGCTGCAGGTTTTGTGTTTTTGGAGTCTGAAGTCCTGGGAGATGTAAAAGATGACAATATTAGTGCTAAAGAACCTTTAACATCCACGGAACCACTAAAGGTGCAGAAAACCAGGTCTTTTAGATAAAAAAAAACGGTAAAAGACTGTAAAAATGCTACGGTGAAAAACTGTTAATCGGTTTACAGAAAGTTTCCGCACTATATACGGTGAATAACTGTGACAGGTTACATTTAATGTAATTTTACAGTAAAATACCGTTTTACCGTAATTTACAGTGAAAAACCGTAAATGTTCATTCCCACAATTCCCTGCGTGACACTTCACATTTGATGTATTTTTGTTGAAATATCTGTTTCTTCATGGTATTTCTTCCTTTTTTCTAATCAGTTATGTACATTAGGGTTTTATGTTACATTTAATGTTGTTAAATTAATGTTTATTGCATTCTTACAATGTCGTGTGTGTGTGAATGACACTGCAACTTAGTATTAACTTTAATGTGGAAAAGCTGCGTGTGACGATCATGTGACTCTCATCTCCGCTGTGATTGGTGGATATCAGTGTATTACTTCAATAGGTCCGTAAATTAACATTATATCAGATAATTACATATTTTTCTTACTGTAAATTTAAGTTAAGTCTGTAAAACCTAAAACGTTGCTACTGTATTTTTTACGGTAGATTTCTGGCAACCACAGCTGCCGTTTTTTACCGTAAATTCAACAGATTTTTGTTTTTTTACAGTGCATGTTTAAGAGTGTATTGAGATGTTACGCTGATTTCAGGACAGCCATCAGACCTCCTTGAACTCCTGGATCTGAGCCTGTTCAAACATGGAGAAGACGTTGGAGTTCGCTCCGTCCGCCGACCTCTTCTTCGCTTTCTTGGGCGCCTGCACAAACCAAACCTTCCTAAACAACAAGCTTTACCTTATCATTGCAACTTCAGGAACAAAAACTGCTTTAAAGTTCCATTCATTCCCATTAATCAGTTCAAACTGTAAATGAATCAATGAATCAATGAATCAATGATTCATTTGCAGCATCGCTCTAAAATATTGGCATTTGTCAACAAGGGAAAAAAAGAAAGTTCTTTGTTAATATGAAGGATTTTTTCTGTATTGATATTTTTACATGTGTTTTATAGCCGTATTTTTAATTGCTTTGAGTTTTAAGGTTGAAGTAAATGTCTGTAAACTGAAGAGATAATGAGCCGGTCATTTTCCACCAAGACATTCCCTGTTTTATATTCAAATGTGGTCACACTCTAAGCTTCATTAGTTAATATTATTTAGTTCACATGAACTATATGAAGAATACTTCTACAGCATTGATTAATCTTTGGTAATATGAATTTCAACATTTACTAATACGTTATTAAAATCAAAGGTTGTATTTGTGAACATTAGATAATGCACTGTGAACTAACATGAACAGCTGGATTATTATTAACTAACATTAACAAAGATTAATAAATACTGTAACAAATGTATTGCTCATTGTTAGTTCATGTTAGTTAATACATTAACTAATGAACCTTATTGTAAAGTGTTACCAAAATGTACATGTATTGTTATATTAGAGCATGATAACTATGACTAAACACAGTTTTCTTGATTATTTTTAACAAACACAACATGCAGCAAATAAGATGCTAAAAATGAAATAAACTATGGAATAAAGTCCAAAGAATTCACCGAGTTGAGTTTTACAGGTGTTTAATAACCATATATTTAATTGGGTTGAGTTTTAAAGTTGAAGTTCGTAATGAGCTGGTAATTTTCCACCAGGCCTGTTTTTAAATTAAATGTATATTTGTACTTATGTATTGTTATATTAGAGCATGATTAACCATGAAAAACCCTTATTTTTAACAAACACAACATAAGTGCCACGAATAAGATGCTAAAATTGAAATGAACATGAATTTGACTCAATATTTACTTTGAAAACTTTTAATTATTTAACAATTTTATTTATACTTTTTACATTTTAGTACATTATTCTTTGATTCATCGCTGGTCTGTTTTTGAAACTGACACAAAGAAGAATAACTCATACAGTATTATTATATTGGAGCATGATTAAGGACTCTTCCTTGATTAATTTAAGCGAAAACACACATTTTTCTTGATTATTTTTATCAAACACAACATAAGCGCAGAAATTAAAATGCTAAAAATGAAATGAACAATAATTTGACACAATATTTACTCATATGTACACTATTCTTTGATTCGTCGCTGGTAAGTTTTTGAAACTGACACAAAGAAGAATATTAATAACTGTATAAATACTTAATAATTAATAGGCCGATTAATAACTCTGGCGGATATATCGGTCGATCTCTGATTAAAATCCCTCAGATCCCGAAGTCTATGAGCGCGAGCGACTCCCGAGCATCAGTAAATGTGGAGACTCACCATGAGGAGGACAGTGAGGATCCCGAATGCTTCTGGACAATGGGTTCGGATGGACGGGCTTTTGTAGATTAGCTGTGCTGTTCTGGGCCGATATAAATAACACATGCCCTGTTTAGGAAGTGACAGGTAGATGATGATCCTCAACACACACACACACACACACACAGAAGCGTGATGAACAACAGTGGTTTAGGATGACAGGAGCCTGTTCTCTGGAGGACAGAAGAAGCGTTCAGCTGTTTGGTGCCGATGATCTCTCCTCACTTCTTATTTATTTCAGGATTTCGCTTTAAGAGCTCAGTAGAGATTCAGAGATTCAGAGATTCACACCTGATAATGTTTCATTCAGAACTGATTTATGGGTGCACATCATTATTGTTAACAATCTTGAATCAGAATCAGTTCCTCTTGCAGCATCTCTTCTCTTCTCTGATGATGTGGGCGGGGCTATAACCTGTCACTCACATGAGATCAGCCAATAGCAAACCACAACCATCCAATCAACTCCCCACAGACACAATCAAGCCCCGCCCACATTTGATCTTGTTCCAAAAGCTGTTTCAGGTATAGATAGATAGATAGATAGATAGATAGATAGATAGATAGATAGATAGATAGATAGATAGATAGATAGATAGATAGATAGATAGATAGATAGATAGATAGATAGATAGATAGATAGATAGATAGATAGATAGATAGATAGATAGATAGATAGATAGATAGATAGATAGATAGATAGATAGATAGATAGATAGATAGATAGATAGATAGATAGATAGATAGATAGATAGATAGATAGATAGATAGATAGATAGATAGATAGATAGATAGATAGACAGACAGACAGACAGACAGACAGACAGACAGACAGACAGACAGACAGACAGACAGACAGACAGACAGACAGACAGACAGACAGACAGACAGACAGACAGACAGACAGACAGACATAGATAGATAGATAGATAGATAGATAGATAGATAGATAGATAGATAGATAGATAGATAGATAGATAGATAGATAGACAGATAGACAGATAGATAGACAGACAGACAGACAGACAGACAGACAGACATAGATAGATAGATAGATAGATAGATAGATAGATAGATAGATAGATAGATAGATAGATAGATAGATAGACAGATAGATAGATAGATAGACAGAAAGACAGACAGACAGACAGACAGACAGACAGACAGACAGACATAGATATAGATAGATAGATAGATAGATAGATAGATAGATAGATAGATAGATAGATAGATAGATAGATAGATAGATAGATAGATAGATAGATAGATAGATAGTGATGGAGGATGAACTGCTCTCACAAAATCTACAGTAATTCTAGTCAATTTGATCATATTTGACTGAATGTAACAGTGTGCTCTTGTGTTTCAGCGGCTGCTCTCTGTAATATAAAGCAGAACACATAATCAAACTCTGTCTCTGGCTCTTATATTCCTCACAGCCGGTCTCTGGCTCTTATATTCCTCAAGGCCGGTCTCTGGCTCTTATATTCCTCACAGCCGGTCTCTGGCTCTTATATTCCTCACAGCCGGTCTCTGGCTCTTATATTCCTCCGGCTGCGCGGCGAGGAAATCAATATCGGGTTTGTGAGCTTCAAATCAATCAACAGAATCAATAAAACCAATAGAGTTGATCAATATGTCATCTGTGACCCTCATATAATCTGCAGCTTGCAGGAGATTTCAGGAGTTCGGCTTTCAAGTCATTTGACTTTTGATCATAAAACTGAGAAGAGAATTCGCCTCTTGAAATATGAATTATGATAAAAGGGTTATTAGTTCAGCCAAAATGAAAAAAATTCTGTAATCAGTGTAAAGTGAAGGAGTCTCTTCAGAATATCGGGACTAAACCGCTCGATTCATATGGATTAGTTTTAAAATCTCTTTATGAATGTTTTGAAGCAGCCGGTAGTTGCATAGCCTGTCAACGGAGCGGCAGAAATCCCTCAGATTTCATTATAAATATCTTCATTTGTGTTTCGAAGATGAACGAAAGTCTTACGGGTTTGGAACGGGTTAGACAATTCACTTTTGGGTGAACTAACCCTTGAAGATTTTGTTTGGAATGGAATCATACTATGCAATCATCATAATAAACACATGAAACAGTAGAAATACAGTAGAAATATCAATGCTGCTATTTAATGATTAACAAAATCCTCATACATTGTAAAGTTAATTGAAGTATCTTTATATGGCATAAATAGCCAGAGTATGTTATGAATTCAGCTATTGATTCAGAGTGAATTCATAAAATCAAGTGCAATGTGAAATATTTGAAGTAATATTTATTGACATAATAAATATACATGCAATTCTATACGCTGATATAGTGCTAAGATGGAATATTTGCACTTTTATAAATGCATTGAAAACATTATAATCTACTGGTGCTGAAGTGAAGGTCGTCTCTGCTCTGGATGGATGGATTGATTGATTGATTGATTGATTGATCTAGGCTCCGCCCCCTGCCAGCTGGTCTATTGATGAATTGATTGAGCTCTTTGTTTGCAGGTATTGATTGTTTGGATGAATGTGTGTGTGTAGCGGTCACTGGGTGTGTGTGTGTTTCTCTCTCTCTCTGTCCTCTAGTCTCGGATGTGATGTTAGTTTGGAGAAGCTCGTCGCTCACACACATCATGGAAATACACTAAGATTAAGAGGAGCTTTACACAAACACATATACGGTATGTGTGTTTCAGTTTCAGATGTTTTCATCGAGCTGGAGTGTGTATTATCTGGGTGGACAAATAACATGGACTTTGCTTTGGAAACAGTGTGTGTGAAGAGTGTTTAGAGAGATTTTAGATGCTGTATGACCAGTTTTCAGCTTTTCATCTTTTGTGCAGTGTCTGACATGTTTAAAAGTAAATATTGTTCTTGTTAGCTTTATCTGTCGTGATGATCATGTTCTCCAGCGCGATCTGATGTTTTGAGATGAGCATCTCGAGCTTCAGTGAGGAAGAACGTGTGTAAAAAAGCTCTGAGTCACATGATCATTCTCACACTTATGCATTTGATTACATGCATGTTTTTTGTGTATAATGAATTTTATGCGTTATATTTTGTCAGAGGAAAATTGGAGTCAGCATCTGATCACATTCATTTTCTTAAATCTGGGTTTGTTTGACCTTTTTTCAGTGTCTTGTGAGTTTTGAGATCATTCTTCATTTGCTCTTATAAATCTGAGGCATATTTACATATTTTAAAGACTATATAAATGTAAATATACTAAATTACTACACGAAATGGGGTAAATGGTTGAGCACTGTATATAAATCTATTGTCTGTATTGTATAATATTGTGTATATATATTTTTTCTTTATTAAAAAATAAAGTTGTCCTCCTAAGAAGGGGGGGGGGGGGGGGGGGGGGGTGGTGGGCCAATATATATATATATATATATATATATATACAAAATATATTACTAAAAATATAAATATGCTAAATGTATTCCTAAACATAAATGTAAATTTACTAAAATGTAAATATACCAAATCTGACTAAATGTAAATAATAAATATACTAAATATAGTACTAAATATACTAAATTTACTACTATATATATAAATGTATCTTAAATATATTACTAAATATAAATAAGTATACTAAATATATTAATAAATTTACATTTAAATATAAATGTACTAAATAGATTATTAATAATATACACAATATTCCTAAATATACATATACATTTTCTAAATATATTACTAAATGTAAATATAAATGTAAATATATTACTAAATATAACAAATATATTTTAAATATAAATTTAAATATATTACTAAATATAACAAAAATATTACTAAATATAAATATTTTAAATATATTACTAAATATAAATATTTTAAATATATTACTAAATATAAATATTTTAAATATATTACTAAATACAAATATACCAAATATATTACTACATATAAATGTAAATATTCTAAATGTATTAATAAATGTACATTTAAATATAAATGTACTAAATAGAATATTAATAAAATATACACAATATTACTAAATTTAAATATACATTTTCTAAATATATTACTAAATGTAAATATACATGTAAATATTCTAAATATATTAATAAATGTAAATATTCCAGATATATTACTATAAATGTAAATATTCCAGATATATTACTGAATGTAAATGTAAATATTCCAGATATATTAATGAATGTAAATGTAAATATTCCAGATATATTGCTGAATGTAAATGTAAATATTCCAGATATATTGCTGAATATAAATGTAAATATTCCAGATATATTGCTGAATATAAATGTAAATATTCCAGATATATTGCTGAATATAAATGTAAATATTCCAGATATATTGCTGAATATAAATGTAAATATTCCAGATATATTGCTGAATGTAAATATTCCAGATATATTACTGAATATAAATGTAAATATTCCAGATATATTGCTGAATATAAATGTAAATATTCCAGATATATTGCTGAATATAAATGTAAATATTCCAGATATAGGCCTATTGCTGAATATAAATGTAAATATTCCAGATATATTGCTGAATATAAATGTAAATATTCCAGATATATTACTGAATATAAATGTAAATATCCCAGATATATTGCTGAATATAAATGTAAATATTCCAGATATATTGCTGAATATAAATGTAAATATTCCAGATATATTGCTGAATATAAATGTAAATATTCCAGATATATTGCTGAATATAAATGTAAATATTCCAGATATATTGCTGAATATAAATGTAAATATCCCAGATATATTGCTGAATATAAATGTAAATATTCCAGATATATTGCTGAATATAAATGTAAATATTCCAGATATATTGCTGAATATAAATGTAAATATTCCAGATATATTGCTGAATATAAATGTAAATATTCCAGATATATTGCTGAATATAAATGTAAATATCCCAGATATATTGCTGAATATAAATGTAAATATCCCAGATATATTGCTGAATATAAATGTAAATATTCCAGATATATTGCTGAATATAAATGTAAATATTCCAGATATATTGCTGAATATAAATGTAAATATTCCAGATATATTGCTGAATATAAATGTAAATATTCCAGATATATTGCTGAATATAAATGTAAATATTCCAGATATATTGCTGAATATAAATGTAAATATTCCAGATATATTGCTGAATATAAATGTAAATATTCCAGATATATTGCTGAATATAAATGTAAATATTCCAGATATATTGCTGAATATAAATGTAAATATTCCAGATATATTGCTGAATATAAATGTAAATATTCCAGATATATTGCTGAATATAAATGTAAATATCCCAGATATATTGCTGAATATAAATGTAAATATTCCAGATATATTGCTGAATATAAATGTAAATATCCCAGATATATTGCTGAATATAAATGTAAATATCCCAGATATATTGCTGAATATAAATGTAAATATTCCAGATATATTGCTGAATATAAATGTAAATATTCCAGATATATTGCTGAATATAAATGTAAATATTCCAGATATATTGCTGAATATAAATGTAAATATTCCAGATATATTGCTGAATATAAATGTAAATATTCCAGATATATTGCTGAATATAAATGTAAATATTCCAGATATATTGCTGAATATAAATGTAAATATCCCAGATATATTGCTGAATATAAATGTAAATATTCCAGATATATTGCTGAATATAAATGTAAATATTCCAGATATATTGCTGAATATAAATGTAAATATTCCAGATATATTGCTGAATGTAAATGTAAATATTCCAGATATATTGCTGAATGTAAATGTAAATATTCCAGATATATTGCTGAATATGAGTGTGTTTATGTAAAGCGTAGTTCTTCTGTTCTGCTGACTGACTGAAGATGATAATGAAGCCTCTCGCTCACTTTCAGCTCTGATGGTCTGGATATGATGATGAAGATGATGAAGATGTTTGCCAGTAGAGACCTTCGTGACCTTCATCATCTGGAAGAGGAAGTGCAGAGACTTCAGGAAGTCCAGGAGAGATCAGCCAATCACATCGCTCTGCTGCAGGAAGTCCAGGAGAGATCAGCCAATCACATCGCTCGGCTTCAACAGCAGCTGGCCAATAAAACACAGGAGATGGAGGTAGAGATCAGCTCATTATGAGCAGTGTCGGTCGGGACAGTTACTTTGAAGAGTAATGCATTACAATATTGGGTTACTCCTTTAAAAAGTAAATACTTTGTTACTTTTTTTATAAAAGTAATGTTTTACGTTATTTTGGCATTACTTTTTTTCACCTGCAGGGCTTGTTTTTTATAACATGGTTAAACTGAATCATCGAAGGTCAGAAGCAAGTAGATCGGTCGATAAAGTGAGAGTAAATGCATAAAAATGTATGTTTTATGTAATATATTTAGTTATTGGAGGTTTGCATAGTATTCTGATTCTGCATTTCACTGATTTTATTCATTTTGAGGAATATTGAATCTGTTTTGTGCAAGTGAGACGAGTAAATGCACACTCACATTTAGTCTAGAACTACAATAACCATCATGTTCACACACACACACACACACACAGTGAGAGCTGTCAGTCAATAAATGGGAAAACAAAGTAACTTGCGTACTAATTTGAAAAAGTAACTCAGATATTTTGTTGTAAATTTGAAAAGTAATGCGTTACTTTACTAGTTACTTGAAAAAGTAATCCGATTACATAACTCAAGTTACTTGTAATGAGTTCCACACAGCACTGGTTATGAAGGGTGATTATTAAAGTTCTGGCTCTAACGAGTGTGTGTTCATGTTAGAGACTTCAGGCCGAGTTGCAGGATTATGAGAAGATCAAAACTGAGCTCAGGTAACGCACTCATATTCTCATATTCTCTCCTCATATGATCATCAATAATGAGTTATTAAAGTCTCGTGTTCTCCCTCTCAGGACTCTACGAGCGCTGACACACACTGCGCTGACACACACTGCGCTGACACACACTGGTGATGAGGTGTTCGCCCCTCCATCAGACTCGGCTGGTAATGGACTGTTTCATTCACTGTCATTACAAGAGCATGATTGATTGTTTTTATTTAAAAATATTGTTTTCTTATTTTAATTGATTTTTAAAATAAAATATTTCAGCTTTTTAACTTTTTTTTGTTTTTAAATTAAATATATTCAGTTTTATTTTGATTGTTTTTATTTAAAAATATTGTTTTCTTATTTTAATTGATTTTTAAAATAAAATATTTCAGCTTTTTAACTTTTTTTTGTTTTTAAATTAAATATATTCAGTTTTATTTTGATTGTTTTTATTTGAAAATTTTCTCTAATTTGAATTTATTTAAAATAATTTCACATTTTTAGTGTTTTACTTAATTTATTTGAGCTATTTATGTTTAATTTATTTCAAATTAAATATTTTAGCTTTTTGTTTATTTTTTAATTATTTAGTTAATTTTTTTAATTAAATGTATTTCAGATTTGTTTGCAAGTTTTATTTTGATCGTTTTTATTTTTAAATATTTTCTCTAATTTTAATTTATTTTAAAATAAAATAATGTCAGCTTTTCAGTATTTTATTTTGATAATTTGTATTTATAAATTATTTATTTTAGTTTTATTTAAAATATGTATTGCTGCTTTTTAGTAAGCATTTTACTCTGTTTTTATTTAAATTATTTATTAAATTAAAATATTTATTTATTATTTTATCAATTTATAAAATGTAAATCTATTATATTTTAACTGAATATACAGCCTCTACACTCTAAAAATTGCTGGGTCTTTTTAACCCAAATTTGGGTCAAATATGGACAAACCCAGCCATTGGGTTATATTTTTAAATGAAATTTTTAACCTAACGGTTGTTTTTGTCCATATTTGACCCAAATTTGGGTTAAAACGACCCAGCAATTTTTAGAGTGTAGTAAAATCTAATGCATAAGAGAAACCCGGATTTAAGAACCTTTATTTGCTTTACAAACACAGTAAAGTGTTTAGAAAAGTCACAGTATATTCTGTTAATATTGGGCATCTTTCATCAATATTTCAGCTTTTTACTTTTGTGTTTATTTTTTTATCGTTTTTATGTGAAATAATATATTTCTGCTGTTTAGTATGTTTCATTTTGATTGTTTTTATTGAAAAATATTTATTTATGTACTTATTTTCTCAACTCACAAATTGGATGTATCGTGGCCTATTTAAACTGAATATACAGTCGAGTTAAATAAAATCTAATTCCCATAGAAAGAGAAAACAGGATTAAAGAACCTTATAAGATTTGCTTTACAAAAACATACACAGTAAAAAAACGTTGGGATATTTGTTTAACCCAAACTGGAGTTTAACCCAATGCACTGGGTTAAAGTAACCCACAGTTGGGAAGGTGCTATATCAACCCATAGTTGGGTTATTCGTTGGGTTATTTTTAACCCAACATTTTAGTTAAGTGACAGTACAGGTGAAACTGGAAAAATGAGAATATGGTGCAAAAGTTCATTTATTTCAGTAATTCAACTTAAAAGCTGAAACTAATATATTATATAGACTCATTGTATGCAAAGTGAGATATTTCAAGGCTTTATTTGTTATAATTGTGATGATTATGGTTTACAGCTTATGAAAACCTTTTCACAATTTGGGGTTTCCATAAGCTGTAAGCCATAATCATCACAATTATAACAAATAAAGGCTTGAAATATCTCACTTTGCATGTAATGAGTCTATATAATATATTAGTTTCAGCTTTTAAGTTGAATTACTGAAATAAATTAACTTTTGCGAGTTTCATCTGTGCATCTTTGCTCATCGTCAGATCCTGTGATCCCGAGCGAGTCTCATCACGTCTGTGGAAAAGAGGAGCCGTTGAGTGAACTTCCAGTGGACAACATGCGCTCTTCATCCTCATCCTCATCCTCAGTGAGCCTCCACATGTGTGTTAAAGAAGAGGACACCTGTGAGGAAGAGGAGTGTGACACGACTGGACTCACGCTCCAGGTGAAGGAGGCGCTCCAGAAGCACAGCATCGGCCAGCGCGTGTTCGGCCACTGTGTGCTGGGTCTCTCTCAGGGAACCGTGAGTGATATTCTGGCCCGACCCAAGCCCTGGAGGACCCTGACCCGGCGAGGACGAGAGCCCTTCCTGAGGATGCAGAGCTTCCTGTCGGACCAGAGCCGCGTGCGAGCGCTCGCCGTCACCCAGGAGAGACTGAGAGGTGAGCGGAGGACCGGACGGGGGAACACTGAACATCTCACGTCTGGTGTTCAAAGTGCATGAAAAATAGGGCAAGCTAAATTCAATGAGATAATAAATTTGCTTATAAGGATATTTGTTTAACCCAATGCATTGGGTTACAATAACCTACAGTTGGGAAGCTGCTATGCCAACCCATAGTTGGGTTATTCGTTGGGTTATTTTTAACCCAACATTTTTAAGTGAGTAGTAAAGTGACAGTACAGGTGAAACTGGAAAAATGAGAATATGGTGCAAAAGTTCATTTATTTCAGTAATTCAACTTAAAAGGTGAAACTAATATATTATATAGACTCATTACATGCAAAGTGAGATATTTCAAGTGTTTGGTGGCTAGATGTTTGGAAAACTGGTATAATAATAACAATAAATAACTAGTATTATTTATTTATGGATGATTCTTGAAGAATTCTCTTGCAGAATGATGCAGATTTTATATTGAGCATCAATGGTTTAAAAAAATATTAAAATCATTTTTGTACTTTATATTTTTGTCAGTAAGAAAAAAAAACAAGATACTTGATTAAAACAAGAAACTTATGAAGCAAAATGACATTAGATATTGATATTCATTAACAGATCTTGTTTTCAGAAACTTGATCAATTAGGCCTATATTCCTGTTGACAAATAGTTTTTCTTGTTCTAAGCAAAAACCTTAATATATCAAATATTTTTTGTTGAAAACCTTAATATCTTATCATGTTATAATGATCTAAGGTAAATTTATCTAATGTTCAAGGTGTATAGATATATTTGGAAAACAGGTTATATTACAACTACTAAGTATATATGCCAGAACAAAATTGTTTGTTGCACAAAATTGTTCTTAAAACCAAACATGTATATTAACAATACCTTGAAATGCATCTGCCAGACAACAAAGTTATTATGCAAAGTCTATTTAAAAAATATTTAATGCATTTGAATTATTTTTTCAAATAGTCGGGTTGAGTGAATGATTCAAAGACTCACTTCATTACTGGATGAATCAGTGTTTTTGAACAAATCTCTTGAGTGAATGATTCAATGACTCACTTCATTACTGGATGAATCAGTGTTTTTGAACAAATCTCTTGAATGAATGATTCAATGACTCACTTCATCACTGGATGAATCAGTGTTTTTGAACAAATCTCTTGAATGAATGATTCAATGACTCACTTCATTACTGGATGAATCAGTGTTTTTGAACAAATCTCTTGAGTGAATGATTCAATGACTCACTTCATTAATGGATGAATCAGTGTTTTTGAACAAATCTCTTGAGTGAATGATTCAATGACTCACTTCATTACTGGATGAATCAGTGTTTTTGAACAAATCTCTTGAATGAATGATTCAATGACTCACTTCATCACTGGATTGTTCAGTGTTTTTGAACAAATCTCTTGAGTGAATGATTCAATGACTCACTTCATTACTGGATGAATCAGTGTTTTTGAACAAATCTCTTAAGTGAATGATTCAATGACTCACTTCATTACTGGATGATTCAGCATTTTTAAATGAATCTGTTGAATGAATAATTCAATGACTCACTTCATTACCGGATGATTCAGTATTTTTGAACGAATCTCTTGAATGACTGATTCAGTGACTCACTCATGTTGTAACAGTCTCTTGTCTCCACCTACTGGTGTAACGATGTAATGATTCAATCTTTCTCTGAAGCAAGTTACTGTCAGAAGCTGATTTACTGTATTGTGATCTCTACTGTAGACATCAGTGTTTATATTGAGTGCATTCATGATCCTGGCTGTCTCTCTTCACTGAAGGCATCGTCCCGTGGGTTCGTCCTCCAGAGATGACCTCAGATCAGGTGATCAGGAACATTCTGGATCAGAACCGTTCGGAGCGTGAGTTCAGATCAGCATCGCTACTTTAAAAACATTTATTATTTTTTGTAAAGTTATATGGCTTATCATACATCAACTTAAATATTACTTTTATATATTTTTTTAATATATACATTTTTAAACATATTTATTATGTTTAATATTTTTTAAATATGTTTTTAATGCATGATTTAATAGTAGTAATTAAGTAACTGTGTGTTTTCTAAAGTCTTGTGTGTGGAAAAGACTTATATTGTGTAAATATTTGTGTATAATTTATTAGAGAGAATTAAAAATTTGAGGTTTAAGATTTTACCAGGGACATTAATGTGTCGGTTTGAGCTATTTTAGGACATCAAATTAAGCTGAGTGAAAATGAAAAATGTTGGCTTGGCCACAAGCTGAAATAAAAATATATGTTTTATTTAAGTTTCAATGTTTACTTTATTTCATTATTTATTTATTTATTTTGTAGCTGAAAGAAATGTTACCTTGGCAAGTATAAAAAAAAAAGTTGATTTATTTAAGTATAAGTATAAAAACGAAAAAAACAAAACATTTTTAGAAAATTTATAAAAATGTGAACAAAATAAACATCAAGTGAAATAGCTAGCTGCCACGGCAACATTTCTAATTTTAGTTTAGTTAAGTACTGAAATGGCTAAAAATATATTTAAAAAAATGTATACATCAAAAATATTTTTTTTTCTTACAATTTTTTGTTGAGTTAAGTACTAAAATAACAAAAAATAAAAGTAATTAAAAAAAATTAACAACAAAAATAAAAATTATTCACGGTTTTCGCTTTCATTTTCTCATTTTTCGTTTAGATAAGTATTAAAATAACTAAAAATTTAAGTAAGTTAAAAAATTACTCAACGTTTATTAACTACATTTTTATTACATTTTATTTAAAGTTTGCCTTGGCTACTAACTAAAATTAAGTTGAGGTACTAAAGTTACTTCAGCTAAAATGGAAATAAAAACATATGTAGAAATAAAACAAATTCAGTGAATTCTAAATGGGATGTTGTGTTAATGCCAAATAAATCTGAAGATTAGCTGATGTTTATTAACTCTTTCCCTGCCTTTGATGGACATTTCTGCCAGTCCATGTTTCACTGTTGTACTGTAGGGGGCGCTGTTGCTTTTCTGTGAAAAGTGTTGATTGCATGAACTTGAAGCGGAAAATAAAATTGCCGGGGAAAAATTTTGATTTTTAACACACAAGTGAACAATTTCCTGGACCGTGAAACGTTTAACCCTTTCTGAACCGCAGCGTGTGTGTGTGTGTGTGTGTGTTCAGTGATGGATGTGGACAGCGGGTCTCAGCGTGGATCAGAGGACGTCATCAGAAACATCCTTCATCAGGCCAAACACGAGATGCACGTGACGAGCGAGACCCCGGAAGAGGTGCATTATGGGAAACCGAGTCCCAGTGATCAGTCGCCGGCTGATTTTGTCCAAAGCATCATCCGAAAGGTCAAATGTGAGATGAATGAAGACACTCCCCCTTCAGCGTCTCCAGCTCCTCTGTCCATCCTCACACACTCGTTCCCGCCGGAGCCGGAGCCGAGGACGCAGGTGTGTGTCCAGCAGGTGTGTGTGGGGAGCTGTGAGGATGAGATGCTTGAGTCGCTGCATCTGGACACCGTCAGCATCACACAGAGAGTCAAAGAAGCGCTCGTGCTCAACAGCATCGGTGAGACGCAATCACTGTGTCCCTTAAAACTCGTCTTTGATCAACAAAATTAAAAAAAAATTCCCTTGATGTCTTCATGCCTTAAAATATCTTGACTGTAACTCGACACCTTCGCCTCATTTAGTATTCGCGGTTCTATGAATATGCAAATGAGCCCCGCCTCCACTCACTCACTCAGAGATCCACTGGTTGACGATCACACGTTGATCTGATTGGTTACTCGACACCCTTGCCTCATTTAGTATGCGCGGTTCTATGAATATGCAAATGAGCCCCGCCTCCACTCACTCGCTCAGCTCAGAGATCCACTGGTTGACGATCACACGTTGATCTGATTGGTTACTCGACACCCTTGCCTCATTTAGTATGCGCGGTTCTATGAATATGCAAATGAGCCCCGCCTCCACTCACTCGCTCAGGTCAGAGATCCACTGGTTGACGATCACACGTTGATCTGATTGGTTACTCGACACCCTTGCCTCATTTAGTATGCACGGTTCTATGAATATGCAAATGAGCCCCGCCTCCACTCACTCACTCAGAGATCCACTGGTTGACGATCACACGTTGATCTGATTGGTTACTCGACACCCTTGCCTCATTTAGTATGCGCGGTTCTATGAATATGCAAATGAGCCCCGCCTCCACTCACTCGCTCAGCTCAGAGATCCACTGGTTGACGATCACACGTTGATCTGATTGGTTACTCGACACCCTTGCCTCATTTAGTATGCGCGGTTCTATGAATATGCAAATGAGCCCCGCCTCCACTCACTCGCTCAGCTCAGAGATCCACTGGTTGACGATCACACGTTGATCTGATTGGTTACTCGACACCCTTGCCTCATTTAGTATGCACGGTTCTATGAATATGCAAATGAGCCCCGCCTCCACTCACTCACTCAGAGATCCACTGGTTGACGATCACACGTTGATCTGATTGGTTACTCGACACCCTCGCCTCATTTAGTATGCGCGGTTCTATGAATATGCAAATGAGCCCCGCCTCCACTCACCCCCTCAGCTCAGAGATCCACTGGTTGACGATCACACGTTGATCTGATTGGTTACAAGGTCGTTTGTGACGTCAGAAACACCAGCGATTTCAAACCGTGTTTTTGAGACTGTCTTTGGTTCACTGCAGTTTTAAGGAGAAAATACTCAGCAATGCTGTCGACTTATGAACTTACACATGGTGTGTCTTAGAGCGGATTAAAAACATGAAAAGCTGTATTTTCGCCACAAGAGGACTTCTCTGAACATTCGGAAACAAGTTACATTTAAAAAACCGGAGTCAGATCTGCAGAAACAGTCTAGTTATTGTTTACTAAAACTATTAAAAATTGTGTTCGGTTAATAAAATAAATAATATTAAATTAAAAACATATTAAAATTAACAAGTGTTATTTTAGTATAATTGAATACTATTATAATGTGTATTCATCATCATCATCATTTCTTTATTCAGGACATACATATAAAATGGTCCATAGCACTATACAAGATAAAGTACATACAAAACAGAAAAAAAAAAGAAAAAAAATTGTAAGAAAATGACTACACAATACACAAAAACGGTGTTCAAATATTAGCATATAGACTAAAGCGCCAGTGATTCCACAAAACCGAAGTTAACCTAACTGCACTCAAAGCAGGGTTCACTAATGTTGCGATGATGCTGTTATGTGACTCTACTAGTCTACACATACATCTGTACATGAGATTCCTAAGTACAGCAGGGCACGTGAATACATTGACACTTACACACATTTGGCTAGCACTGCCCCCTCGTGGCAATTAATGCAGCAGCCTCAAACCATCATTATATGCCACCTTGAGTTTCTGCATACTGCTTTTTTTATAGCGGCGCCGCAAGTGGGCAGTGTACATCGGAGTACAAAAAGCTTTAAAAAGTGTAGTCTTCACAAAAAGTGAGCACATACTAAATTTGCGATTCAGCATATTCGCTTGTGCGTACAACATACAATACTGTCTATGAATGTCCCTATCATCAGACAGGTCATCAGTTATATAGTGTCCTAAGTACTTGACCTCATTACACACTCTAAGTAAAGTACCAGACAGATAAAAAGCAGGAAATGAGAGTTTACTGTCCTCCCTGCTTCTAGCAATCATTATATGGCTCTTCTTAGAGTTGAACGTAATATCAAAGTCCAAGCCATATTGGGAACATACCCTTAGTAGCTGTTGAAGGCCAGCACTATATGAACAAAGAATGACCAGGTCATCCACGTACATTAGGTGGTTGACAATGGTGTCCCCAACCCTACAGCCTGTTCCACAACTGTTTAGCAACTTCGATCGGTCGTCCATATAAATATTAAAAAGAAAGGGAGACAAAATGCTTCCCTGCCTAACTCCATTACTTATATTAAATGAGGCAGACATAGAGTTACCCCACTTCACATACATGGACTGATGAGCATACCAAAAGGCCAAGATTCTCACTAGATATTTGGGAGCCCCTCTGTTGTACAATTTGCAAAATAGCTTCTCATGGTTCGCCCTATCAAAGGCTTTAGAGGCATCAATAAAACACAAAGAAATTGTGGAACTATGCCTGTTGTACAAATCTAAAACGTCCTTCAGGGCAAAAATACACATATCAGTGCCATGTTTAGGTTTGAAACCAAACTGATTGTCAGAGGTCAAGACAAAATGTTCCAGCCTATTCAGAATAATCCTCTCCAAAACTTTGGATAAGATACTGGCTAGAGCTATAGGCCTGTAATTATCCACACTATTAATCTTACCTGCTTTTTCTTTAATGATGGGCACTAGTGTGACAGATAAAATAGAGTCGAGTAAAATACCATGGACTAACAGCCCAGTAAAACAAATAGCAATTAGGGGACAGAGTTTTCTACTTGCAAATTTCAAATGCTCCGCAGATATCTCATCCATACCGCATGCCTTATTATCCTTTAGCATCATAATTGCATCATATATTTCTTGAGGTAAAACAGTTGTATCTTCATTACTATCAATGTCATATATATATATATATATATATATATATATGTGTGTGTGTGCGTGTTTTTTACTACTTTGACCCGGTCACTTCAAAAACATAAACTGCAAAACTGTAATTTAAGGGAAATAAATGCAATTCCAAGTGAAATTTTGCACAAAATATTTGTGTAAGATTATAATATGCTTTCTCTTAATTGATAAAATGTGATAAAAAAATAAACACATTTTTTTTAGAAAAAACATCATCCTTGGACAATGTAGCAAAACTTGTACATTTACAATCAGATTTTTTCATATATGTGTAGTTCTGGGAGTGTTTGCCTGACGGTGGTGTGGTTTGGCAGGTCAGCGTGTGTTTGGCGAAGAGGTTCTGGGTTTGACTCAAAGCTCGGTGTCTGAACTGCTGTCTCGCCCCAAACCCTGGACTAAACTCAGTCTGAAAGGAAAGGAGAACTTCATCCGGATGCATCGGTGGCTCCAAGACCCGCACAACGTCCAGAGACTGACCAAGACGGACCAGAGAGGTAAACATTACATTAGTGATGCCGATATCGGTTCATTTTTAATGTTATCGTTATCGGCCCGATAAAAACATTTGTCTGATATATTAAAGCTGATAAATAATGTATTGTTTCCTTCAGCTGAGGCGCTTCAGATGCGCACTGTTCAACATGATGATTATGAATTGCTTGAAATATGATTGGAATCACTTCAAAAAAGGAAAATACAGTTCAGTGCAACATGTGCAGCGCAAGCCTGTCATATCGGCTACATAACATTATCATGAGAACATCATAATTGTGTGTTTGGGACGTGGATTTTACTGGGGAGACTTTTGTTTTCGTAATCAGGCTCTCAAAAATGTATTTAGATTTAGATTTTCGGCCGATATATCGGTTATCGGCTTTCAAATATAAAGAATTATCGGTTATCGGTATCGGCCAAACTGTTCATATCGGTGCGTGCCTAGTAAATATACTGTATGTTTGGTAGAAGGATATTATTCAATGCATATCTACAACAATGTGCATGTAAACATTTTCATTCCGTTCTTCTTGTTTGTGCTCACGCATACAGATGAGGTCATTATAATCAAACTATCATAACAGTGTAATTTTAAAGTATATTTGAGACTATAGAATATAATAGAGGTGATTGTATAATTGCAGGTACATTTGCTGTCATTATTTTTATATTATTTGTTATGTCATGGATCAAAAGATACTTCAGGCCATAACAATATAATATTTTCTGTAAAAAGTGTCTTTTAAAGCTGAAAATCATAATTTCTTCTTTTTTTTCTTTTTTTTTTCTCATTTATATAGCGCTTTTAACAATGGATTGTTTCAAAGCAGCTTTACAGAGATAAACATATAATTTAAGGTAACAGAGATTGTTTTGGCTTTATATTCGGTTCTTTTCCGAATTACTGTATTTTTTCCCCCTCATGTATCATTGCGTAATTAAATTTTTTTTTTTTACTTTAGCCAATATTTCATTCATTTTTTTAAATTACAAAAGCCCTAAGTAGTAATTTTACTAATTCTACAACATTAAATTGTTTAAAAATAACTTCTATATTATAAAAATGTCCATAAATCTTGGATTTAGATGTATCGCCAATATATCGGTTATCGCCTTTCAAATATAAAGAATTATCGGTTATCGGTATCGGCCAAAATGTTCATATCGGTGCATGCCTATTAAATATACTGTATGTTTGGTAGAAGGATATTATTCAATGCATATCTACAACAACGTGCATGTAAACATTTTCATTCCGTTCTTCTTGTTTGTGCTCACGCATACAGATGAGGTCATTAAAATTACACTGTTATGATAGTTTGGTTATAAAGTATATTTGAGACTATAGAATATAATAGAGGTGATTGTGTAATTGCAGGTACATTTGCTGTCATTATTTTTATATTATTTATGTCATGGATCAAAAGATACTACAGGCCATAACAATAAAATATTTTCTGTAAAAAGTGTCTTTTAAAGCTGAAAACCATGATTTCTTCTCCGAATTACTGTCTTTTTTCCCCATCATGTATCATTGCGTAATTATTATTATTTTTTTTTTTACTTTACTTTTGCCAATATTTCATTCTTTTTGTATTCATTACAAAAGCCCTAAATAGTAATTTTTCTAATTCTACAACATTAAATTGTTTAAAAATAACTTTTATATTATAAAAATGTCCATAAATCTTGGATTTAGATGTATCGGCCAATATATCGGTTATCTAGCCTGGCCTACATCATGATGTTAGGTCTGGGAACTCACCATTGGCAGGGCTCAATGCGAGGGGCGGGGTTTCCTCTGCGCTACAACCAACCAGAGCAACGAAGAAGGTGACGTAGTCAGAGCGACGGAAATGCGTCGAAGGGGGAGTGCAGTGTTTCGCGTATGTTGTGTTGTCGAAAAAGTTTGATGGAGAGATTCATGTAAGCTACCAAAGTTATGGAAATGGAGCACAATGACTGTTGCCGTTTTTGTGAAAAAAAAATGAGAATTGCGGGCGTGCTTGTACATTCATCAAGCATCTTCGAGAAACGTCAAACGTTAAGTATTGCCGAGAGACTACTGCATATTGGAGTGGCGGTAGTTAAAACACCGGCAAAGTCGAACAGGATTTGTCAGCGGTGTCTCACCCTTTTATCGAGACTTGAACGTGATTTGCCGGTGTACTGGAGATGGGTGGAGGATGAAAAGAACGAGGAAGCCTCCGCAGTAGAAACCACGACAGGTCGTTCAGCTAAACGAGTTTTACGAAAGTAAAACTATGTAACATCAGAGTAGTTAGTTGTAGCGTAGGCATCGTCCTTTTTAAAAAATGACTCGAGTGCCGTTCTTTGTTCATGTTTCAAAGAAAAGCTTAACTTTAAATCATCCAGAGTCGCGGCCAAAGCCGAATCGAAAGACCGCTGTTCGCCAGCAGCCACAGCCATTGTTTGTTTTCAAGTAGCAGTGAATCGTCGCATCTCTGCCGTCATTATGTTAAGCCCGCCCACCGACTCTATACACGATGTGATTGGCCTGACTAGAGTTTGGTTTTTCCAGCTCGAAAGTCAACGGAGAGTTGTTAGACTCCACTAGGGGAGTCTAGATTTCTAGGCTATCGGTTATCGGCTTTCAAGAATTATCGGTATCGGCCAAAATTTTGATTTCGTTGCATGCCTAGATACATGTTTGGTGGAAGGGATGTTATTCAATGCATATCTACAGAAATATGTGCATATGAACGTATTAATTTCGTTCTTCATCTGAATAAGTGTTTGCTATAAATGTGTGCAGCTCGCCTCAAACGTGACTCGCAGCGGCCGTCCGACGCACCGGGACACGGGTTCTGTCCCTCTGACGGTTCGGGAGCGTGTGAGGCGATCAAAAGGCCTCGTGTGGTTCTGAGCGCTCGTGAGAAGGACTCGCTGCGAGCGGCGTATCAGCTGGAGCCGTACCCGTCTCAACACACCATCGAGAGACTGGCGGCACAGCTAGCGCTTCAAACTAGCACTGTCAGTAACTGGTTCTACAACTACAGGTAGGTGACCAGTGTTGTGTGTGTAACTCATTACAAGTAACTTGAGTCACGTAATCAGATTACTTTTCAAGTAACTAGTAAAGTAACGCATTACTTTTTCACATTTATTGACTGACAGTTCCATGTTGAGAGAAATAAAGTGTTGTGTGTGTGTGTGCGCTGTGTAAACATGATGGTTATTGTAGTTCTAGACTAAATGTGAACATGCATTTACTCGTCTTGCACGAAAACATTCAGTATTCCTCAAAATGAATAAAAACAGTAATGCAATCGCAGAATTTTGGTGAGAAAAAGTAACGGACATGTAATGTAACGCATTACTTTTCATAAAAAGTAACAAAGTAACGCAATTAGATACTTTTTTTTGGGGCGTAATGCATAACTTTTAAAAGTAACTTTCCCCAACACTGTTGGTAACGGCTTCAGCTCTGGAAATAAAACCGTTCAATCTTGTTCCCAAATGGAGGCTCAAGGAAAACATCTTATGATACAAGCGGCTGGATGTGGAATTGAGAAACTCTTGTTATTAGCGACACCGGTGGCCGTTAAGTGAACTGCAGGAGCAGTTTTTCGTTCTTCGATATAAGGAGTAAAAATAAAAGTTGGAAATATGTTTAGCAGTGATTTGCTGTTAACGAACATCCCGACGCCATATAACAATGTGGGTTTAGATTTATCGGCCAATATATCGGTTATCGGCTGTCAAATATAAAGAATTATCGGTATCGGCCAAAATTTTCATCCTTAAAGGAACACTCCAATTTTTGGGACTTTAGCCTATTCACCTTATCCCCCAGAGTTAGATAAGTCCACACATACCTTTTTCATCTCCGTGCGTGCTATAAGTCTGTTTGACGCACCCACCGCTAGCCTAGCTTAGCACAAAGACTGGATGTAAATGGTTGCAGCTAGCATACTAATCCAAATAAGTGACAAAATAACGCAAACATTTTCCTATTTACATGTTGTGATTTATATAGTCACAGAGTGTACAAAAAGACGCGCTCTCTGCTCCTCACCACGGTGCGTCTCAGGTGCTGCGGTTATCACTCCGCCCAAGTAGCAGTGCTTCGCCTTCAGAGAATATAGTTCCCAGTATTTATACGGTTAAAATATGTCTGTGTCTCATGTGACTTTGTTTTTTGTACACTCTGTGACTATATAAATCACAACATGTAAATAGGAAAATGTTTGCGTTATTTTGTCACTTATTTGGATTAGTATGCTAGCTGCAACCATTTACATCCAGTCTTTGTGCTACGCTAGGCTAGCGGTGGGTGCGTCAAACAGACTTATAGCACGCACGGAGATGAAAAAGGTATGTATGGACTTATCTAACTCTGGGGGATAAGGTGAATAGGCTAAAGTCCCAAAAAGTTGGAGTGTTCCTTTAATAAAAGGTGATTAATAAACGAAAATTCTTACATATAGCCTTTTTAAACCGGCATGAATATTTTTCTACTACTAAATGTAATGCGCTGTGCTTTTTCTCTGTTAACAGGTCCAGAATTAGGCGAGATGGTTTACCCGAACCAGTACAAACCAGAACAGTTCAAAGTCCAGCCAGTTCAAGTCCAGTTTCAAGCGGTTTACTCTCAATCAAACAAGAAGCCTGTGATCCTGAGATGGAGGACACACACCAACACACTTGTGTTTCTGTGGCCGTACAGTCCGTCACTAAAGCTGAAGATCTGGAAGAGCTCGTGTAATGAACGAGCAAACGAATTGTTGACATGATTTTAGTATGTTTATCTTTTTTATTTCATTCATACAGAAAAAGTGAATCCTGATTGGACAAATGTCTTTTTTTTTATTATGGCTGAATTGTTTGTTTGATAAATTCTCATGTCTGTTCACTTTGACGGTTCGAGGACTAAAGAATGTGAAAGTGAATAAAAGTCCCTTTTGGTGACTGGAATAATCTGATTCTTATTTTTACTTTCATTTGTATTTGTTTTGTTCCAATTGTGATGCTGATAAAAGCCTTTAAATGAATAAATGTAACCTAAATATTTGTATGATAAACAATGTGTTTTTATTCAAAGAATTTCCAATAGTGAATTGCACTCAAGACCATAAATGTTGGGATTTACAAATAAATATAAAATCAGCACAATAAAATAAAAGTTTTCAGTGAGAGAAGTCCAAAACACAGAATAAAACTCATTTATGAATTTCTGTAATTAATAAATAATAAATGTATTATTTTTAAATAACTGAATAAGTATTTATTAATAATTATTTATAATTCATTTCAATTTAATGCTACATTATTGTATTTTGTATATTTAAATGAATTAAAAAAAAAACTAAATTAATACATATGTATCATTTATTAGTAGTTGCTATTAATATGAACAATTCTTTAACAAATACTTACATTTAAATAAATAAATAAAAAGTAAATTATACACGCATGACGTAGTGATTGCGTCACGACGTCGTAGCGTCACGTGACTTGCAGCTCAGCTGAGAAGAACGTCATGGCGGTGTAGAGCGGATTACACTCAATGTTTACATTCTGTTTATCGTCTCTTTTCTGGTTTTTCTCCGGTTTAACCGCAACAATGCGCGTCTTCTGCGACTAACTTGGAAAGCAGGTGAGTTTTGAGCGATTACAGGGGCTTTATTGACCGGTTTCGGTGCCGGGATGACGGTTCCGCCCTCCTCAAAAACAACAACAAACAAACGACAACAACTAGAACAACAGCACACTCTCTCATCGAGATTTGACGACAGACATATATGTTTAACACTGAGTAACATGCACACAGGAGCTGTTTAATCAGTTGCACTGGTCGAGCTGTCAGTTCAATGATGGTCAAACTAGCATATCTAGTGCACCTATCTAGACTGTATCCTTGGTAAACTACAGTTTTAGGCATCATCGACTCGGTCAGAGTCTTAGTTGACATCTCACTGCTGTCTAGATAGGCAGCTCACTAGGTTTGATCTGTACTAGAATCAACAGCTGGCATACTGTTGTAAAAACACATAATAAATAAGTGTAGGTATATGCTTTTATCTGACCTACCTTTGCTAATTGATTATTTGATTTGGCATGATGTGAGATTAGACACTCCTGCAATAGTCTCACTAAACCACTTCTGCAGGGTTGAAAAGCATGATAACATATCTGTCGTAATGGCGTACAGATATTCCCGGCTAGTATAACAGCATAACAAGCCCTTTTTGTTTGCATAACCTTTCTTAGATTGGTGTTCATTTCCATCTAATAGCAGCGGATCAGGGAGTTTTAACTTGCGCTGCCCTTCAAAAGCTCGTCATGCAAAACCGGTTTCCTTTTTAATCCACCCTCCTGTTTATTATTGGTTGACTATGAATTTTGATCAGGTCACATATTACTCCTGCAAGCCTGACACTCTTTAATAAGCCGTATTATTATGTATTATCTATTTGAGAATAATGGATGATGTTTTGAAGCTTCCCCATTACTGTGGCTGAGTTCAGATCGCTATCTCTGCACTTTATTCTGCTTCCTTTTCCTTTGTTTTGGTTTCACAAAGTATGTGAGAGAGTATGCAATGCCTTGAGAAAAGAAACAGTAGTTTGCTACAATAACACACGATCCGATTATTATGTTGCGCCTTATATCATTGTGTAAATATGTTGCACTATATATATATCATAGTGCAATTTGCATTTTCTAATTTTGTGTAAATATGTGTTATAATCTCTTGCAGCCTTTCTTTCTTTCTTTGAGCGTCTGCTCCACACGCAGAGATCCAGATCCAGATCCAGAACCAGATCCAGGTCTGTAGACCTTCACTGTAACGTCACGTGTCAGAAATGCATTGCATGGAATGTGTGCATGTTAGTGCATGTGTGGTATAGAGGAAGATTTGCAGATGAGTTAAAGGATTAGTTCAGAATTTACTCTCCCGCACGTCATCCAAGATGTTCACGTCTTTCTTTCTTCTGTGGAAAAGAAATGAAGGTTTTTGAGGAAAACATTCCTCATTTCCTCCATATAGTGACTTCAATGGGGTCCAACGGGTCGAAGGTCCAGATGTGAGTTTCAGTGCAGCTTCAAAGTCTCGACACGATCCAGCCGAGGAATAAGAGTCTGATCTAGACAAACCAGCCGACATTTATAACAAAATAAACATTTATATACTTTATAACCACTAATGCTGGTCTTCCACGAGCTGTGATGCGACACACATTACGTGATCAGGGTGAAAGGTCACGCGTGTTCCGGCTCATAAATGTAGGATAGGGCGAACAACTCCATCTCATTTTCTCCTCCAACTTCAAAATTGCTCACATCGTTGTTTTACCTTTTATTTATTTATTTATTTTGTAAATGGCGTTTGTCTTAGTCTTTGTGCACGGCTTTGTAAACACTACGTCTGTTCTTACGCCTACGTCCCGCTTGACCTTTCACCCTGATCACGCAATGTGTGTCGCATCACAGCTCGTGGAAGACCAGCATTAGTGGTTATAAAGTATATAAATGTTTATTTTGTTATAAATGTCGGCTGGTTTGTCTAGATCAGACTCTTATTCCTCGGCTGGATCGTGTCGAGACTTTGAAGCTGCACTGAAACTCACATCTGGACCTTCGACCCGTTGGACCCCATTGAAGTCACTATATGGAGGAAATGAGGAATGTTTTCCTCAAAAACCTTCATTTCTTTCCGACTGAAGAAAGAAAGACGTGAACATCTTGGATGACGTGCGGGAGAGTAAATTATAATTTTAATTCTGAAGTGAAGTAATCCTTTAACTTGTTTTCTCCAATTCAAATTTCAACTTGGTTTTCTGATGCATCAATACATGATGCAACTTATGCTTTCATTCAGTTTTATTTCACATTTATTGTAGTAATGAAAATCCTTTTCTGAAGATAAGAAATATTGCCGTTATTAAAGCCTCCTCAGGTGTGGTTAAGATCGGTGAGACCTTACATGACTCTATTTATCACCCGAGGCCAGGAAAATCATTCATAAATCCTAGAGATGCACGATTATGGAGAAATTGAGAATCATAATTTTTTGTTCAGTGATTTCACAATTTGCTAAATGATTCTGTACAACTAAACAAAACAACAAAATGACAACAAAATGTTAATTCTTGCAGTCGATTTAACAAATATTGAACTAATTTGAATTAATAATTTTAAAAATAATCAGATTGAACGAGTGACTGATTCAATGACTAACTCACATGAATGAATCATGTTTTTGAACAAATCTCTTGAATTAACGATTCATTATCTTTATTTGAAGCGTCAAGTTACTGTCAGAAGCTGATTTACTGTATTGTGATCTCTACTGTAGACATCAGTGTTTATATCCCAACTATAAACTTCTATCCCAGTTCTTCTGTGATAATATGAATTATTGTAAGACAGAAATAATAAAACTGTGTGGTTGACATCATCGTGACATTATTTTCATGACAATTAAATTGGTATTACTTTAATCTAAAAACATTTTGATTACTATAATGCAAACAATAATATAATTTAAATCATAAAGCTTTTATATATCATGATAGTATTTGTTTTAATGTGTGTTTATGCTGATTTAAATCAAACGCAATTGACAGTACTGTTTGTTTTACAGTACGGGTGAATTTGCCTTGAAAATAATCTTTAAGCCTTCATTTTATTTATGTAAAATATCATTTCTTATTGTTTTCTCTTGTTTTTGTGGTTGTTAATATTTACACAAGTGTGTCTACAAGGTAAATCCATACGATCTATAGGTTCAGTCTCAGCTAATGCTGTATTGATCCGCTTTAAAAACCTTCAGCATGATCCAGGAACAGCCGAACGCCTCATTGATTATGAAATGTTTAATTGATTATGTCATTGTTTGTGAAGTGGAGGGAGGGATATCTTTAGGGATGGCCCTTTTTTAATTGCATCCGTTACTGTGCTCATATACAGGTGAAACTGGAACAATTAGAATATCGTGCAAAAGTTCATTTATTTCAGTAATTCAGATTAATACGTGCTGATTCTTAGTTCATGTTAAGCTAATTAACTAATGTTAACTAATGAACCTTGTGACGTGTTACTAAAAGTGACTGTCATGCAAAACATTTTACTGAGACATTTTTGAGACAATAAATTAATAAAAAAACTACAAAAATAAAAATGACAAAAAAATACAACAAAGTTACTTAAACTTTAACAAAATATAAAAATATTTTTAAATATTGATACAAACTACAATAATATCTCAATAACACTAAAATAACACTGATTTACACCACAAATTCATCACACAAATGAAAAAATAATACAAAAAAACAATCTTTCATGTTTATCATTTCCTTCATGCATATTTACATGATTCATATTTTCTTTGCTGTTATTATCATATTTTCTCAACTTAAAAGGTGAAACTAATATATTATATAGACTCATTACATGCAAAGTGAGATATTTCAAGCCTTTATTTGTTATAATTTGGATGATTATGGCTTACAGCTTATGGAAACCCCAAATTCAAAATTAGAATATTGTGAAAAGGTTTTCATATCTGTAAGCCATAATCATCACAATTATAACAAATAAAGGCTTGAAATATCTCACTTTGCATGTAATGAGTCTATATAATATATTAGTTTCATATTTAAAGTTGAATTACTGAAATAAATGAACTTTTGCACCATATTCTCATTTTTCCAGTTTCACCTGTATATGACGCTCTTATTGACGGCTGAACTGAGAAATATTTTAATAAATGCAAATGCATAACATGCAGATGATCTTTATAACTAACTGCCGTCTCTCAGGTCGTCTGTGGCCTGCGGATCCGTTTTACCCAGCAGTCCCGGGGCCATGGTGAGACCTCTAACCCTCATTAAATCTCTCAGATCACTGATGTCTGATGACTCTGTTCACATACGATGCTTGTGTTGTGAAGGTTGAAGAGGGGCCGCAGAGTCCGGAGGCCCGCGAGAGCCCGGAGCCGGAGAACCGACAGGTATCACAGCGCTTCCTCGTTTAGTTCTGAGAGCCACAGAATGTTTTAATTATTAATTTGAGCTCTTCTTTGAGAAATTCATGTGCAGAAATCGAGGACGGAATCGCAGAATCCATTACGGCTGTGCAACAAATAATCCCATCCAAAATAAAAGTTTGTGTTTACATAATATATGTGAGTGTGTACTGTGTGTAATTATTTTGTATATATAAATACACACGCATGCATGTATATATTTATGAAAAATGTGTTATTTGTACATAAAATATTAATATATAAATTATATATAAATATACATACATGCAAATATATCTCAAATGTATACATGCATGTGTGTATTTATATATATATACACAAAATAATTATACACACATATATTATGTAAACACAAACTTAATTTGGATTTTGCACACAGTCTGCGAATATTAATGTGCAAAAAGGCTGCTATTGAAATATTAAGTTTGCATAATGTTCAGTTTGACATTATGACAGAAATAACTGTTGTACAGTAGAATGTACGTCTAGTAATATATTAATAATACACAATATTGATGCATGTTTTTTTTTTAAATATAACACAATATCCAAATTTGTTTTAATTTAAACATTAAACCTCTATTGTGCAGAAGCACTTTGTTTGGCAAAAAAAAAAATTATTCAAGTTTTATATGATTACATTTTAAAAGACTCATTAATCTTGTTGTTAATAAGTTTTATGCATTCATTTGATTACCACCTTTTTTGATAGTAATTTGTATTACAAGCATATACATATACACAAGCATGCATGTACAATCACATATATATGATTGTACATGCATGCTTGTGTATATTTATATGCTTGTAATACAAATTCATAATATATATATATATATATATATATATATACACACACACACACACACACACGCAGGGTAAATACACTGCCATTCAAAAATTTGGGATCGGTAAGATTTTTAATGTTTTTAAAAAGTCTCTTCTGCTCACCAAGGCTGCATTTGTTTAATTATAAATAGAAAAGAAACAGCAATATTGTGAAATATTATTACAATTTAAAATAACTGTTTTCTATGTGAATATATAGTAAAGTGTAATTTATTCCTGTGATCAAAGCTGAATTTTCAGCATCATTACTCCAGTCTTCAGTGTCACATGATACTTCAGAAATCACTCTAATATGATGATTTACTATGATTTATGATTATTATTATCAATGTTGAAAACATTTTCTTTTCAGGATTCTTTGATGAATAGAAAGTTTAAAAGAACAGCATTTATCTGAAATAGAAAGCTTTTGTAATATATATATATTAGGGCCCTAGTGATGGTGTCTGTAATGGCAGGTCGTGTTCCCGCTGCTGCACGGCGAGTGTGTGGACCATGTCGGGGGGGCAGAGGAACCTGTCATTGCCTTAACCAGCTACCGCCTTCACATCAAGCTCCAGGAGAACGCCATCAATGCAAGTGTTTCTCTCACACACAACAACACCTGAACATCTGTGCCGGGATCTCAGATCTCAGACGATACGTGCCTGAACGACAATATCTCAATCAAAAGATTTCAAAAACAAGCAATTTGTTTCTCTACGGCAGATGCAACATCAATCACAGCTCACAGCCAATCAGAAGAGTGTGTGGGCGGAGTCTATCTCGGAACTGATTTATTTAATTAAATTAAAGGTGCAGTAAGCGATTTCTGAGAAACATATTTGAAATCAACCAAAACAAACAGCCCTCCCTTCAAATGCACGAACACACACGTCCCTTTATCATAGCTGGAGCAAAGCAAAATCATGCTTAGTGAAAAACAAAGCAAAGATGATGAATAAAGGAACGACAACATACAGTACAGTACACCAGAGTATGTACAAGCAAGAGCTGGTTGTTAGTCGCCAGCAGCTCCAGACAAACAATGACCCTCAAAACTGTCCTGTTACTACAGTAACATTATAAAAACAGCATCTTGACTCTGTGAAACACCAAAACCAATGTTACTCACATATGAGCAGAAACAACACGTCTGTTTTCAGGCCTTCCTGCTCAGGTCTCTCCAGCACTGGAAGGCTTTACTAATATTAATGCGGGTCCTAAAGCTCTTGCCTGATCATAACCCTTCTCATATTCCTCTTTTGTAATGTCTCTCAGCCATCTTTCTTTCTACAGTCTTTCTTCAAATCTCCATCTTGCTCACTCTCTCTCCTCCCCCATCATGAGTGGACACGCCCCCTACTGCTAAATAGCTCACTCTCTCTCCTCCCCATCATGAGTGGACACGCCCCCTACTGCTAAATAGCTCACTCTCTCTCCTCCCCATCATGAGTGGACACGCCCCCTACTGCTAAATAGCTCACTCTCTCCTCCCCCATCATGAGTGGACACGCCCCCTACTGCTAAATAGCTCACTCTCTCTCCTCCCCATCATGAGTGGACACGCCCTCTACTGTTAAATAGCTCACTCTCTCTCCTCCCCATCATGAGTGGACACGCCCTCTACTGTTAAATAGCTCACTCTCTCTCCTCCCTATCATGAGTGGACACGCCCTCTACTGTTAAATAGCTCACTCTCTCTCCTCCCCATCATGAGTGGACACGCCCTCTACTGTTAAATAGCTCACTCTCTCTCCTCCCCATCATGAGTGGACACGCCCTCTACTGTTAAATAGCTCACTCTCTCTCCTCCCCATCATGAGTGGACACGCCCTCTACTGTTAAATAGCTCTCTCTCTCTCCTCCCCATCATGAGTGGACACGCCCTCTACTGTTAAATAGCTCACTCTCTCTCCTCCCTATCATGAGTGGACACGCCCCCTACTGCTAAATAGCTCACTCTCTCCTCCCCCATCATGAGTGGACACGCCCCCTACTGCTAAATAGCTCACTCTCTCTCCTCCCCATCATGAGTGGACACGCCCTCTACTGTTAAATAGCTCACTCTCTCTCCTCCCTATCATGAGTGGACACGCCCTCTACTGTTAAATAGCTCACTCTCTCTCCTCCCTATCATGAGTGGACACGCCCCCTACTGCTAAATAGCTCACTCTCTCTCCTCCCCATCATGAGTGGACACGCCCTCTACTGTTAAATAGCTCACTCTCTCTCCTCCCTATCATGAGTGGACACGCCCCCTACTGCTAAATAGCTCACTCTCTCTCCTCCCCATCATGAGTGGACACGCCCTCTACTGTTAAATAGCTCACTCTCTCTCCTCCCTATCATGAGTGGACACGCCCCCTACTGTTAAATAGCTCTCTCTCTCTCCTCCCCATCATGAGTGGACACGCCCTCTACTGTTAAATAGCTCACTCTCTCTCCTCCCCATCATGAGTGGACACGCCCTCTACTGTTAAATAGCTCACTCTCTCTCCTCCCTATCATGAGTGGACACGCCCTCTACTGTTAAATAGCTCACTCTCTCTCCTCCCCATCATGAGTGGACACGCCCTCTACTGTTAAATAGCTCTCTCTCTCTCCTCCCCATCATGAGTGGACACGCCCTCTACTGTTAAATAGCTCACTCTCTCTCCTCCCTATCATGAGTGGACACGCCCCCTACTGCTAAATAGCTCACTCTCTCCTCCCCCATCATGAGTGGACACGCCCCCTACTGCTAAATAGCTCACTCTCTCTCCTCCCCATTATGAGTGGACACGCCCTCTACTGTTAAATAGCTCACTCTCTCTCTCTCCTCCCCATCATGAGTGGACACGCCCCCTACTGCTAAATAGCTCACTCTCTCTCCTCCCCATTATGAGTGGACACGCCCTCTACTGTTAAATAGCTCACTCTCTCTCTCTCCTCCCCATCATGAGTGGACACGCCCCCTACTGCTAAATAGCTCACTCTCTCCTCCCCCATCATGAGTGGACACGCCCCCTACTGCTAAATAGCTCACTCTCTCTCCTCCCCCATCATGAGTGGACACGCCCCCTACTGCTAAATAGCTCACTCTCTTCTCCCCCATCATGAGTGGACACGCCCCCTACTGCTAAATAGCTCACTCTCTCTCCTCCCCCATCATGAGTGGACACGCCCCCTACTGCTTATTGCCTCACTCTCTCTCCTCCCCCATCATGAGTGGACACGCCCCCTACTGCTAAATAGCTCACTCTCTCTCCTCCCCATCATGAGTGGACACGCCCCCTACTGCTAAATAGCTCACTCTCTCTCCTCCCCATCATGAGTGGACACGCCCCCTACTGCTAAATAGCTCACTCTCTCCTCCCCCATCATGAGTGGACACGCCCCCTACTGCTAAATAGCTCACTCTCTCCTCCCCCATCATGAGTGGACACGCCCCCTACTGCTAAATAGCTCACTCTCTCTCCTCCCCATCATGAGTGGACACGCCCCCTACTGCTAAATAGCTCACTCTCTCCTCCCCCATCATGAGTGGACACGCCCCCTACTGCTAAATAGCTCACTCTCTCCTCCCCCATCATGAGTGGACACGCCCCCTACTGCTAAATAGCTCACTCTCTCTCCTCCCCCATCATGAGTGGACACGCCCCCTACTGCTAAATAGCTCACTCTCTCCTCCCCCATCATGAGTGGACACGCCCCCTACTGCTAAATAGCTCACTCTCTCTCCTCCCCATCATGAGTGGACACGCCCCCTACTGCTAAATAGCTCACTCTCTCCTCCCCCATCATGAGTGGACACGCCCCCTACTGCTAAATAGCTCACTCTCTCCTCCCCCATCATGAGTGGACACGCCCCCTACTGCTAAATAGCTCACTCTCTCTCCTCCCCATCATGAGTGGACACGCCCCCTACTGCTAAATAGCTCACTCTCTCCTCCCCCATCATGAGTGGACACGCCCCCTACTGCTAAATAGCTCACTCTCTCCTTCCCCATCATGAGTGGACACGCCCCCTACTGCTAAATAGCTCACTCTCTCTCCTCCCCATCATGAGTGGACACGCCCCCTACTGCTAAATAGCTCACTCTCTCTCCTCCCCCATCATGAGTGGACACGCCCCCTACTGCTTATTGCCTCACTCTCTCTCTCCTCCCCATCATGAGTGGACACGCCCCCTACTGCTAAATAGCTCACTCTCTCTCCTCCCCCATCATGAGTGGACACGCCCCCTACTGCTTATTGCCTCACTCTCTCTCTCCTCCCCATCATGAGTGGACACGCCCCCTACTGCTAAATAGCTCACTCTCTCCTCCCCATCATGAGTGGACACGCCCCCTACTGCTGATTGGCTCACTCTCTCTCCTCCCCATCATGAGTGGACACGCCCCCTACTGCTGATTGGCTCACTCTCTCTCCTCCCCATCATGAGTGGACACGCCCCCTACTGCTGATTGGCTCACTCTCTCTCCTCCCCCATCATGAGTGGACACGCCCCCTGCTGCTGATTGGCTCACTCTCTCCTCCCCCATCATGTCATCCACTGTCACTGTCAACTGTACTCCACCTTTAACAAACATTTAAGCATTATTGAATATACATACTCAGTGACTGATACAATCTGTCATGGAGTCCACTCGTTTAGATGGCACTCTGAAACATCACGCGTTACACTCAAGGCCTAAAAGCCACAATTGTGATGTTTTTGTTGTCGTTCTGTAAACACATCAGGTCCCACTGCAGCTGATTGAAAGTGTGGAGTGTCGGGATCTGACGCAACTGCACCTCACCTGCAAAGACTGCAAGGTCATCAGGTACGCCTGTGTAGCAGCGCTGCTTTGACTAACAAATGTGTCCTCGCTGTGTCTCATGTGTGCACAACATCCTCAGTGGAGGCATTGTGAGGTAGACACAGACAGTAACGGTGTTCTTTGGAATAATGTGCATCAAGCTAAATAATGTGTGTTAGGAAAGTAGAAGCGCGTTCCAATACACACACTTATGCACTATTCTATGACATCTTGTATTATAAATGTAGTGTGAAAATTCAGAAATGGATAAAGTGCACTTTAAAAAATTCATTTAAAGTTCATTTATTTCAGTAATTCAACTTAAAAGGTGAAACTAATATAATATATAGACTCATTACATGCAAAGTGAGATATTTCAAGCCTTTATATGTAATAATTGTGATGATTATGTCTTACAGCTTATGCAAACCCCAATTTCAAAATTAGAATATTGTGAAAAGGTTTTCATAAGCTGTAAGCCATAATCATCACAATTATAACAAATAAAGCCTTGAAATATCTCACTTTGCATGTAATGAGTCTATAAAATATATTAGTTTCACCTTTTAAGTTGAATTACTGAAATAAATGAACTTTTGCACCATATTCTCATTTTTCCAGTTTCACCTGTAAATATATTTAATATAGTGTTTGTATATTAGCGTAGGCATGAACAATTTTTAATAATTTTAAATAACCAGATAATATTCATCAAGAATATAGACAAACTTTATATTACTGTAATTGTCTAGATTGGCAATATGTGGGTGAAATATATTTTTCAACACATGTAATGTTTTAAACACTATTATATATATATTTTTTTTAACTTTAGTATAAATTGTTTTAAAGAAGATCTACATTGAACATTTTCACTATGGAGGTAATATGGAAAATGTGCTTTAGTGGAGTATTTCTGTCAGCTGGGGGAAAACAAACCCACTTTTAACATTAAAATTACATAAAAATTACCAATATGACCAGTAGATGGCTGCAGAGGACCACTCATTTGCCATTTCAAATCCCTTTTATAGCTTTTTTTTTGCGTGTTTTGCTTTTGGATTTATTACAAAATGAATATTATAAAAATCTTATCGATTTTATTGCACTGAAGTATGAAGTATAGCAAGATTAGGAAAAGTAAAATAGTCTCATACCATTTTAAAATGGTAAAATTCAAATAAATACTAGATTTTACTAGAATTGCTCCCGCATCATATTATGAAAACTGCATTTATGAGAAAGAACTAAACAAATGCAGATATCATAATCCATCCAACAATGCACACAGATTAGTAGTTAATAGTGTCAATTTCGTTAACGAAATCTATGACGTCGCAAATATTCGTTGACGACCTTTTCTTCCATGACAAAGACGAGACAACACGTCATTAAAGGATAACTGTGACTATATCAACATGCAATATCGTTGACGAAAAAAGACGAGACTAAAATGTAGTTAAAACATAAAAGCATTACTAAAACATATCTTTGTTTTTGTATTACAGACTGTTTTTAACAAGCCGCTACGAGCTTTCACTTGCGGTTGCCAGATTTCAATAATCTAAATCCCCCAATCAGAGCTTTTCTGTTAAAAGGACACGTTTTATACCCGATATTTGACTTCATATGTGCAATCTGGCAACATGTACGCAGCTCTGTGTGACAATAAATAGTATTTTTTGCTGTTGTTTTAATACAAAAAAACAATGTAATTTAGAATCACTATGAGAAATTTCACAGTTATAATTTTTTAGAGAAGTGTCTTGTTTTCATAATGTAGAGAATGGGTTTATTTATGACAAATAGCCGATGAAAAATATCAAATAAACCATGCATATGATGAGTTCTATGAGACTATATCAAACATTCTCTAGATTTGTACTTGCATATGAAAGTGCAATAGTTCTGATGAAATGCAAATATAAATTTCCCAAATGACAACAATTGTTGTGATTATAATTTTAGGCAAAATAATCGTCGTTAGCCTATTATCAATTTAGAAGACGAAAATATGACGACGTTTTCATTGACTAAAGCTAGACTAAGACGCCCAGGCATTTAGTCGACTAAACCTTGACTGGATGAAAACAGGGCAAAGTTGAATAAATATGATAAAAACGCTATATAAATGTGATGAATTATTATTATTATTATTATTAAAACTACACTTGTAGCTAATTGTGCTTAATTTGTGACAACTTAAAGGTGCATTGTGTGATATTTATCAGACGCTTTTATCCACAGCGACTTACAAATAGAACAATATTCATCAGTTAAACTAACAATTGGACAACAATATGCAAGTGCTGTGACCCTTCCCAGTTTAATCTAACTGCATGTATTATTTTTTTTCCTTTTTCTCTTTTTTATAAATATAGAATAGAAGAGACACTGTTAGTATTAATGGATCAGGTGTTGCCGAAAAAATTTAGGAGGATCTGTTGACAAAAAATGCAATATAATAGCCATAACTATGTGTTCAGTGGTGTATAAAGAGCTTACATAATGAACTGTTATGTTTTTATTAGCTTATGAGGGTTTCTCTACACACACCGCGGGTCCGCTTACACACACACGTTTCTACGGTGGCCCTGAACGGACAAACGTGTTTCGTCACTATGTTGTTCTGCGTGTAAAGAAGCTGCTAAAGTCAGCGAGTAAAACACTGACACAATGATGAACAGGTAACAATAATATTTGCAATAACATCGTTTTACTAAATACTTAAGTAAATATCATTTCTTAATTTATCTTTGTAAAGAAACTGGCTACTCTCTGCTGTCTCAGACGACGACGTCACTTCCTGTCGGCCACCGTAACTTCTGTTGGGTGCAGTTCACAACCTCACCACTAGATGCCGCTAAAACTTACACACTGCACCTTTAAATGTACCTGTTGTGTTCAGGTGTGCGTTCCAGTCGACGGAGCAGTGTCAGGATTGGCTGAGGAGGATTAGCGCAGTTGTGCGGCCGCCGGCCCGGTTACAGGAGCTCTTCGCCTTCGCCTTGCTCTCGTGCAGCGCCAGTGTGTCCGCTGAGGACAGAGAGGTGCATGATGGGATCTGCCGTGCAGGTACACACATTTTTACAGGTTCTTACTGACTAATTGCAGACTAATTGAAATAAGTTTAAGCTAAAGCGCTAAAATTACCATGGAATGCCAAAGCTGCCAAAATAATAAAGAAATAAACACATAAATAAATATAAAAAGAAATGTAAAAACCCCCCCAAAAAATAAATAAAAACACATAAGTAAATATACAAAGAAATGTAAAATAAATAAATAAATAAATAAAAAGTCCCCGCCCCCCTCATTACCATACGGAAAAAGAAATGTAGAAATAAATAAATTTAGAAATAAATACATATAAAAATAAATAAACTTGGAAATAAATTAATATAGAAATAAATTTGGAAAAAATACAATGATACATAAGGTAATAAAAGTATAAATGTACATTTATTTATTTGTAAATTTCTTTGTATATTTATTGATTATTTTGGCAATTTTTGCAGTCCATAAATTACAAACTGGAAATAATTAGAAGCCAAAACTAAAACTGAGAGCAATCAAACAATCAATAAACCTAAAAACGAATAAAAATAAAAATATATAAATTAATGACAACATTTTTTAAATTAAAATGAAAACTAAAACATATATAAATAACAGCTAAATCAAAATACTGATAAACCATAATTAGTCTTAGTATATACTAGTACAAAGTATTTATAATACAGAACTACTATATATAAATAATACTAAAACAACACTGGTGCCAGGTTTAATGAGTTTTAACATTAAAATTAGTGCAATCTGAATTATCAGATACACTCTGTGTCATGCATTGAAAATAAGGATAAATGCACTGTAATTCTGTTTATCAACACAATCTTTTGCAATATAGGTGTTTATGAGGCAACTTATAATAATAACGGAGCAAAAAAAGACTTCTGTTTGATGCAAGATAAACACAAACACACAAACAAACACTTTCTATTTCTGTAAATCAGGAAATGCTTCATGTAAAACCGTAATCACAGACACATCTGTTGTTTGCTTATGGTTTAATTGAATCATCGAAGGCCAGAAGCAAGTAGATCGGCCGATAAAGTGAGAGTAAACGCATAAAAATGTATGTTTTATGTAACATATTTAGTTATTGGAGGTTTGCATAGTATTCTGATTCTGCATTTCACTGATTTTATTCATTTTGAGGAATATTGAATCTTTTTTTGTGCAAGTGAGACGAGTAAATACACACTCATATTTAGCCTAGAACTACAATAACCATCATGTTTAACCACACACACACACACACACACACACACGTCTGGTCCACTACACACACACACACACAGTTAGAGCTGTCAGTCAATAAATGTGAAAAACTAACTTGCGTTACTAATTTGAAAAAGTAACTCAGATATTTTGTTGTAAACTAAGTTTAGTTACTAGTTACTTGAAGAAGTAATCTGATTACATAAGTGAAGTTACTTGAAATGAGTTACACACAACACTGGAAATGCTTCATGTAAAACGTGAGTTGTTAATCACCGATGTGTGTGTGTTTGCAGGAGGACGTCAGCGAAGGTTCAAGCGCGAGCTGGAGAGGATGGGCTTCGACACACACAGTGCCTGGAGAATCTCCAACATCAACACACACTACAGGTGACGCACCTGAAACACACCGACCGCTCGCGCGCACAAGCTGCTTCATCACCAGACGTGTGTGTGTGTGTGTGTGTGTGATCTCTCAGGGTCTGTGCCAGTTACCCAGAGCAGATCATCGTTCCCGCTGCGGTGTCGGACCAGGAGCTGGAGAACGTGGCGGCGTTTAGATCCTGGAAGAGGATCCCGGCCGTCGTTTACAGGTGTTTCCGAGCTCACATTTTGTGAAAGGACTGTTCTGGGATCAGTACAGGTTAAGCTGTGTTGACAGAAGGGTTGGGTATCGTTTCAATTTTAACGATTTCGATTCCAATAATAAAAATAATAAAAAAACTTGGATATCATTCACATTTAGTCTTATTGCAAAACATGTAATTGTATCAGAATATCATGAACACAAATCATCAGCTGAAGAACACTTACACAAGGAGCGTTTGCCTGAGGTTTAAACACACCATAGAAGAACAACTAGCCGAACTAATATAACTTTACAGCATTATTAAAGACCATAAACACTCGGTAATAAAAAAATAACACATAAATAATTAGCAATCGCTCAAATAGACACAACTGAACAAAGACACGAGTGAAATAAACAGTGTTTTAAGATTTCAGGTGCAGAAACTGTAATCAAATGTAAAATATCACTGCACTTTATAAATAAAATATACATTACAAATATAGTTACAAAAGTTATTCAGGCAAGAACGAGGGAATTTTCTCTGTCTTCTGTAGTGTGATTAGTGTTATAGAGACAGCAGGAATATTAGCGCTGTCACTTTAAGAGTCGCGCTTGAATCGTTTAAAGTCGTATTGAAATGCTCACAAAGGAATCGATAAGAAGAATCGAAATTTTAATTTTATAACAAGTATCCGATTCCTGTCCTCAAGTATTCGATTCCCAACCCTAGTTGACTATGAAAATAAATAATTGTATCACTCATTTCATGACCGTATGAAGTCATTAAATACATTAATTTAACGCTAGAAAAGGAAGTTGCATAACCATCCAGTCACACTGAGTAAGCAGAAGTTGTTTAGATGATGTTACAGGTCAGATAGCACACAATTTTTATACACGAGTCGAGAATTAAAGGGGTCATGAATTGAGAAATAAAATTTTCCTTTATCTTTTTGGCGTTTAAGAGGCAATTGTACTATAAAAGTGTCCTGTAAGTTTCAGAACTTAGTTAGTTTCCTCGTTAGTCCAAAAACAGCTTTTAATGAAACCAAGCTCAGAAAACAACTCATTTTGGATTTTGTCACATTATTACGTCATAGTGCGGCGAGAGCCCGCCTCCGCAGAAGAAGGTCGACGCCCACTTCTACATCATCACCTCGTTAGCCCCGCCCACTGATTCACACACGTCATGTAGCAGTGAATACAAGAGCGACGCAAACACAGGATTATTACAGCAACAAAACCAGGATTACAAGACTTTATTGAAGCGTGGATGACTTTATTTTGAACAAAGTTCCAGTTAGATCGCTTCATTTTAATCCTGTAATCCTGAATAAAAGACATCTTCTGTTTTCTCATCAGTAAAGCTGAACGACAGCGTGACAAACATCAAAACAATGATAAATGATCATTTGTCAACTATAACTGTTGTAACTTCAAGTACTTAAACTCTATTTGCCACAAGATTTATAAAACGCACGTAATAATACGCATTAATGTTTCACATTGTTGGCAAATGTAATGAGATATTTTTCAACATCGAAATCTAATAACGGGGACATTATTATTTGAATATGCAAAACTGTTAGCCAATCACAGCAGTGTTTGAAAGAGAGGGTCAAAAATAGGATAGAAATCAGCTTATTATTTCTAAATTAGGAGGTTTTTGATGTTAAAACATTATAAGTGGAACTCTCCTATAGAGAACATTATAAAAGAAAAGAAAAATGCATTTCATGACCCCTTTAGTGTAAGTGCTTCAACAAAGATATGAGCTTTACATTTCTGCTTTTAAACTTTTATAGGGACCAATTAAATCTGTTTGATTTTTCCCCCCAAATTCTGTTTTTCCATTTAAAATTGTTCTGGATTCCGTTATAATGGTTACAATTAAATTCTAGTAATAAAAAACATGTTAATTAAATTAGCTAATAAACTGAAACCCTGAAACTTGTACAATTTACCAACAATCAAATTTCTTAGGGCCCAAATTCCATGTTTACCATTTAAATTTTCCATTTATTTCAAAAATTCTATTTTATTGGTTTACTTAAATTTTCATAATCATAAAGCATGTTTAATCAATTGAATTTATTAAAACGTCAACAATTTATTTTTTACAAAAATAGGGTTCTTTGAAATGTTTTATTTTTTCAGAAATTCTGTGTTGTCTGTTTTCATGTTTCTGGATCGATGATTTAATACAAATTCATGATCAAAAACAGTGGTAATCAAATAAATGCATCAAAAAATAATCATACTTTCAGACTTCCATTGTACAACATCACTGTAATTATGATTTTCCTTTTATAAATGTAGATGTTGACATCACTAGTATCTTTAACTTCTGTCTATAGTTATGCTACGCTTTTCTGTCATAATCATTTGTTTACAAACAAGTATTCATCACTGCAATGAGCTTAAATTATTACATTGTTTAAACGCATTTTTTTGCATAAATGATTGAATTGTTTAATACATTTTTAGTTAACTGTGTACATTTCTGAAATACACAGTCACCTCTGATAACAGATCGCTGTAAATTGTAATATGGATATGAACTAAAGTTATATAGCTAAAACGGATGGTTTTAGCTCTGTAATCTGATTGGACGAGCCACACTGTGTTAAAGCACTCACCTTTATCTAACCTTTGACCCAGACACCAGAGTTCGGGCGCTGTGATTGGTCGATGTGGGCAGCCAGAGGTCAGCTGGTGGGGTTGGAGAAATGCCGACGATGAGCGTTTGGTTCAAGCCATCGCTAAAGCCTGTGTCACGGATCCGGCGTTGAGCGCGGCTCATGCTAACGGCTCATGCGTTCGCCATCATCACGCCAAGGCTTCGCTCGGTGACTCCGGTGAGTGAGCGCCACTCAGGCTTCAAAAAATTTAAGTTCTGGAGAACAGCCATATTTAAGAAAAAGGTACTTTTCTTAGGAATTATTGAAAGACAATATATGTGAAATTAGTGTTTAATTTGATTGATAAAACAAAATTTTCACACAAAAATGTAGTCTGATATAAAAATAGAGGCATTTCTCATGGCTATGAGAGTGATATTGCTCATATAAATATCCAATTATATGATAAAGCTTTTATTCTTCAGGTCCATCATAAATTCATGGAAATAAATCAGTTTGAAACTTTGAATAAGGAAAGCGATATCTTTGTCATATTATCCTTTCAATGATTAAAGTTTCCAGTCATTGCATCCGCTGCACTTTATTATTTGTACCATTTTGTTTTATTAGTTTATTTTATTCATCTATTTAGCTTTTTTAGAATTTAAAAGATATTCTTTGTTATAAGTGAGATGATCTCAGTCCTTGAAAACCAAGAAAGTAGGGCTTGAAAAGTAATTTTAGAGTATCTGTACGAACCCTTTGATTGTTTTTCCTGCAGCTGCTCATTTACTTCCTGTTTTCACATCAGGTTCTCACACGGCCAATGGGAACGTAGAGGCCACGCCCCCTCAGAAGCTGTTAATAATGGACGCCCGGTCGTACGCGGCGGCGGTAGCCAATCGGGCGAAGGGAGGCGGGTGTGAGTGTCCAGGTAAAGCAGAGCACATGCTGATAGCAGAACACGTTCTCCCTGATAGCGCTGGGAAGCGAAAATCAATACTTGTTATAAAATAAAAATTTTGATCGATTCCTTTGTGACTTTAAACCATTCTAGTGCGAGAGACTCTGTCTTCAGTGCTGAGGGTGTGTGTAACATTATATTGGACCTGTGCAGCTCTTAAAGGTGCAGTGTGTAGATTTTAGCGACATCTAGCGGTTCGGTTGCACTAATGGCTCCGCCCACTGCTCACCCCTCCCTTTCGAAGAAGCTACGGTGGCTCAAACGGGACAAACATATCGTCGTCTGAGACAGCAGAGAATAGCCAGAGTAAGCCAAGAGTGTGTGTCACTGTTTCTGTACCACAGTCCATTATAAACCACATCATGGATAAAGTTTACAAAGCCATAGTCAGGTGAGGATCAAGGGTCTTAATATATAATATAATAATAGTAATCAGCTGATTGTCTCACGAGCGTAACCAGCACATTTCTCCCCACATAGCAAACCCATAATACAGCGAGAGAGAAGAACCACATGAAACTATGCAACTATATATGTTTTCTAACAGGGTAGTAAACGTTTAGCCGGCTAATATGAGCTGTTACTGTGGCTGAGCTGGTTAAAGCGTAAAGCCTTGTTTAAACTCGACGCGTCCGCATGAGCGCAAAGGTGCGCGCGGCAGAAATGACGTGATTGTAACAGCGCGCGCGCCTCCGCATCCCCTAGACACACTTACTACACACACAATAGGCTTTTTTTCTCTGATTTTGAAAACTCTTCGCGATCGACGGGTTGGTGATTCCTGTAACTGTTTTACGGTTAATGACAAGAGTGCTAATCGGCTGTCTCACGAACGTAACCAGCACATTTATCCCCACATAGCAAAGCCATAACACAGCGAGGGAGAAGAACTGAGTTACATGAAACAATCCAGCTACATATTTACACCACTGACAAGGGAAAAGTCACTCCTCACGGTGTTTATGACTAGCTTCTTCTAGCTTCCTGCGGCTTCTCTTTCAAGGTAGTGACGAAACACGCTCTGTAGCGCTGTGTGTTCGCTGTGTGTTCGCTGTGTGTTCGCTGTGTGTAGCGCTGTGTGTAGCGCTGTGTGTTCGCTGTGTGTTCGCTGTGTGTAGCGCTGTGTGTTCGCTGTGTGTTTGCTGTGTGTAGCGCTGTGTGTAGCGCTGTGTGTTCGCTGTGTGTTCGCTGTGTGTTCGCTGTGTGTAGCGCTGTGTGTAGCGCTGTGTGTAGCGCTGTGTGTAGCGCTGTGTGTAGCGCTGTGTGTAGCGCTGTGTGTAGCGCTGTGTGTAGCGCTGTGTGTAGCGCTGTGTGTTCGCTGTGTGTAGCGCTGTGTGTAGCGCTGTGTGTTCGCTGTGTGTTCGCTGTGTGTAGCGCTGTGTGTTCGCTGTGTGTTCGCTGTGTGTAGCGCTGTGTGTTCGCTGTGTGTTCGCTGTGTGTAGCGCTGTGTGTTCGCTGTGTGTAGCGCTGTGTGTTCGCTGTGTGTAGCGCTGTGTGTAGCGCTGTGTGTTCGGTGTGTGTAGCGCTGTGTGTAGCGCTGTGTGTAGCGCTGTGTGTTCGCTGTGTGTAGCGCTGTGTGTAGCGCTGTGTGTTCGCTGTGTGTAGCGCTGTGTGTAGCGCTGTGTGTTCGCTGTGTGTAGCGCTGTGTGTAGCGCTGTGTGTTCGCTGTGTGTTCGCTGTGTTCGCTGTGTGTTCGCTGTGTGTAGCGCTGTGTGTTCGCTGTGTGTAGCGCTGTGTGTAGCGCTGTGTGTTCGCTGTGTGTAGCGCTGTGTGTAGCGCTGTGTGTTCGCTGTGTGTAGCGCTGTGTGTAGCGCTGTGTGTTCGCTGTGTGTAGCGCTGTGTGTTCGCTGTGTGTTCGCTGTGTGTTCGCTGTGTGTAGCGCTGTGTGTAGCGCTGTGTGTTCGCTGTGTGTAGCGCTGTGTGTTCGCTGTGTGTAGCGCTGTGTGTAGCGCTGTGTGTTCGCTGTGTGTAGCGCTGTGTGTTCGCTGTGTGTTCGCTGTGTGTAGCGCTGTGTGTAGCGCTGTGTGTTCGCTGTGTGTAGCGCTGTGTGTAGTGCTGTGTGTTCGCTGTGTGTAGCGCTGTGTGTAGCGCTGTGTGTTCGCTGTGTGTTCGCTGTGTGTAGCGCTGTGTGTTCGCTGTGTGTAGCGCTGTGTGTAGTGCTGTGTGTTCGCTGTGTGTTCGCTGTGTGTAGCGCTGTGTGTTCGCTGTGTGTTCGCTGTGTGTAGCGCTGTGTGTAGCGCTGTGTGTTCGCTGTGTGTAGCGCTGTGTGTTCGCTGTGTGTTCGCTGTGTGTAGCGCTGTGTGTAGCGCTGTGTGTAGCGCTGTGTGTTCGCTGTGTGTAGCGCTGTGTGTTCGCTGTGTGTAGCGCTGTGTGTTCGCTGTGTGTAGCGCTGTGTGTAGCGCTGTGTGTTCGCTGTGTGTTCGCTGTGTGTTCGCTGTGTGTAGCGCTGTGTGTTCGCTGTGTGTAGCGCTGTGTGCTCGCTGTGTGTTCGCTGTGTGTAGCGCTGTGTGTAGCGCTGTGTGTTCGCTGTGTGTAGCGCTGTGTGTTCGCTGTGTGTAGCGCTGTGTGTTCGCTGTGTGTAGCGCTGTGTGTAGCGCTGTGTGTTCGCTGTGTGTAGCGCTGTGTGTAGTGCTGTGTGTTCGCTGTGTGTAGCGCTGTGTGTTCGCTGTGTGTTCGCTGTGTGTAGCGCTGTGTGTAGCGCTGTGTGTTCGCTGTGTGTAGCGCTGTGTGTTCGCTGTGTGTTCGCTGTGTGTAGCGCTGTGTGTAGCGCTGTGTGTTCGCTGTGTGTAGCGCTGTGTGTAGTGCTGTGTGTTCGCTGTGTGTAGCGCTGTGTGTAGCGCTGTGTGTAGCGCTGTGTGTTCGCTGTGTGTAGCGCTGTGTGTAGTGCTGTGTGTTCGCTGTGTGTAGCGCTGTGTGTAGCGCTGTGTGTTCGCTGTGTGTAGCGCTGTGTGTAGCGCTGTGTGTTCGCTGTGTGTTCGCTGTGTGTAGCGCTGTGTGTAGCACTGTGTGTTCGCTGTGTGTTCGCTGTGTGTAGCGCTGTGTGTAGCGCTGTGTGTTCGCTGTGTGTAGCGCTGTGTGTAGCGCTGTGTGTTCGCTGTGTGTAGCGCTGTGTGTAGCGCTGTGTGTTCGCTGTGTGTTCGCTGTGTGTAGCGCTGTGTGTTCGCTGTGTGTAGCGCTGTGTGTAGCGCTGTGTGTTCGCTGTGTGTAGCGCTGTGTGTTCGCTGTGTGTAGCGCTGTGTGTAGCGCTGTGTGTAGCGCTGTGTGTTCGCTGTGTGTTCGCTGTGTGTAGCGCTGTGTGTAGCGCTGTGTGTTCGCTGTGTTCGCTGTGTGTTCGCTGTGTGTAGCGCTGTGTGTTCGCTGTGTGTAGCGCTGTGTGTAGCGCTGTGTGTTCGCTGTGTGTAGCGCTGTGTGTAGCGCTGTGTGTAGCGCTGTGTGTAGCGCTGTGTGTTCGCTGTGTGTTCGCTGTGTGTAGCGCTGTGTGTTCGCTGTGTGTAGCGCTGTGTGTAGCGCTGTGTGTTCGCTGTGTGTAGCGCTGTGTGTAGCGCTGTGTGTTCGCTGTGTGTTCGCTGTGTGTAGCGCTGTGTGTTCGCTGTGTGTAGCGCTGTGTGTAGCGCTGTGTGTTCGCTGTGTGTAGCGCTGTGTGTTCGCTGTGTGTAGCGCTGTGTGTAGCGCTGTGTGTAGCGCTGTGTGTTCGCTGTGTGTTCGCTGTGTGTAGCGCTGTGTGTAGCGCTGTGTGTTCGCTGTGTTCGCTGTGTGTTCGCTGTGTGTAGCGCTGTGTGTTCGCTGTGTGTAGCGCTGTGTGTAGCGCTGTGTGTTCGCTGTGTGTAGCGCTGTGTGTAGCGCTGTGTGTAGCGCTGTGTGTAGCGCTGTGTGTTCGCTGTGTGTTCGCTGTGTGTAGCGCTGTGTGTTCGCTGTGTGTAGCGCTGTGTGTAGCGCTGTGTGTAGCGCTGTGTGTAGCGCTGTGTGTTCGCTGTGTGTTCGCTGTGTGTAGCGCTGTGTGTAGCGCTGTGTGTAGCGCTGTGTGTTCGCGTTCGGCTACGGTAGAAACATGACGTCACAATATGGCGACCTTCATAGAAGGGGATTCCCGCGGTTATGTAGATATAAATGCCTCATTCTAAGGTAATAAAAACATTACGGTTTATTAAGTACGTTCTTTATACGCCACTGAAAACATAGTTATGGATGTCATATTGCATTTCTGTTAATAGATACTCAAAATTATTACACACTGCACCTTTAAAGTGACAGCACTAATATTCCTGCCGTCTCTATAATAACACTACAGAAGACAGAGAGAAAATTCACTCGTTGTAACTATATTTGTAATGTATATTTTATTTATAAAGTGCAGTGTTATTTTACATTTGATTACAGTTTCTGCACCTGAAATCTTAAAACACTGTTTATTTCACTCGTGTCTTTGTTCAGTTGTGTCTATTTGAGCGATTGCTAATTTTTTATGTGTTATTTTTAATTACCGAGTGTTTATGGTCTTTAATAATGCTGGAAAGTTATATTAGTTCGGCTAGTTGTTCTTCTATGGTGTGTTTAAACCTCAGGCAAACGCTCCTTGTGTAAGTGTTCTTCAGCTGATGATTTGTGTTCATGATATTCTGATACAATTACATGTTTTGCAATAAATGTGAATGATATCCAAGTTTTTTTTTTTTTTTTTTACCTTATTGGAATCGAAATTAGGAATCGGAATCGTTAAAATTCAAACGATTCCCAACCCTAATTCCTGATCTCTCGCTCATACATCATCCCCTGTGTGTGTGTGTGTGTGTGTGTGTGTCCTGTAGAGTATTATCCCAGCTGTGAGGTGATGTTCATGGGCATGGCCAACATCCACTCCATCCGGAAGAGCTTCCAGTGTTTGCGGACTCTCTGCGCTCAAGTCCCGGATCCGGTGAAGTGAGTGTTCATGATGAGCCTGCAGAACACAGCGGCAAACCGGCTCAAGCTGACGGCCATTCACTGAACAGTCCGTTACAGAGACAGTGTTGCTTTTATTTAAGAATGCACCGATTTCAAAATTCTGGTTAAACTAGAAATGGTTATGCTATGGTTAAAAATATAAACCTTTGATATATATCTCATGCACTGCTGCGACGGCTGGGGCAGGACGCCGCAGATAAATATACATATGTAAATGTATATATATATATGTGTGTTCTGCGTGTGCTAGCTGGCTGTCGGCGCTGGAGGGCACTAAATGGCTCCAGCATCTGTCTCTGCTGCTGAAAGCGTGTCTCCTGGTGGTGAGCGCTGTGGACCGGGACCACAGGCCGGTTCTGGTGCACTGCTCCGACGGCTGGGACCGGACGCCTCAGATCGTGGCTCTGTCCAAACTCCTGCTCGACCCCTTCTACAGGACCATCGAGGTCTCCTGCACTCTTCAGTTTATTTATTTTACAAGAACTCTGCAAAAAATGCTTTTCTTACTTAGTATTTTTGCCTTGTTTCCAGTCCAAATATGTAAGAATTCTTAAATCAAGATGCATTTAGTAAAATAGTAAAATGCCATAAGATATTATGTCTTGTTTTCTGGGGAAATAAATTAAAATTAAGTGAGTTTTTGCTTAAAACAAGCAAAATGATCTGCCAATGAGCCTGAGGTAAGAAAAATAATGTTAATTCAAACAGAAACAAGATTATTGGCAGATCATTTTGCTTGTTTTAAGCAAAAACTCACTTAATTTTGATTTATTTCCCCAGAAAACAAGACATAATATCTTATGGCATTTTACTATTTTACTAAATGCATCTTGATTTAAGAATTTTTACATATTTGGACTGGAAACAAGACAAAAATACTGAGTAAGAAAAGCTTTTTTTACTGTGGATAACATGTAACGTACAGCATGGCAGGAGTGTTGCACAGGTTTAGTGCACATTCATGCCGTTTAATATATCAGCTCTCTCTGCTTTTATGGACACAATAAAGTGAGGAATAGTTTTTTTAGGGTTTAATTTTTGAAAACTGAGTTTGACTGGGTAATATTGCTAATATGTAATTGTCAATCTGAATACTTATGTAATCATAGGGTTGTAGCCTAGTTAGGCATGCACCGATATAACATTTTGGCCGATACCGATAATTATTTTTATTTGGAAGTTGATAACCGATATATCTGCTGATTAATCTAAATCCAAGTTTTTATATAATTTTTGAGAGCCTGATTACAAAAACAAAAGTCTCATCATTAACATCAATGTCCTAAACACACAATTCGCCTTTGGCTAGGCCCCGCCCCCCTTAGTTACTGTTGCTACGTCCGACAAACAAACTTCATCTGGGCTCTGATATCAACATGGCTTATGCTGTGACAGCTCTTCCTGCTGAAATTTTATCAAACTTTTATAAAGCAGCAAATAAAGTGTCTGATAGAAGTAGTCAAAAGGGGCTGCGATATACGTTTGAAGGCATACGTTCATGACATACAGGTGAAACGCAAGGAACAACAAGGCATCCAAAATAGAGGCAAAGCATACCGGTCACAGTCAACAAATGAACCACCGCATATCGTACTAATCGAGACGGAGGCTGGGACTAACAATATCAAGGAGCAACACTGTTCAGGCAAAGCTGGGTCTCTATTCACTTCTATAATCGTTATTACAAAGCAAACGGACTACGCGAGTATAACGTTGTATTTATTAGCAGCGTGTGCTAGACGACACTTTTAGTTGTCAGGATTTGACTTCGGTTTTGGGAAGGGAAAAAAACGCACACCCCCCTCCAACCTCTCTGGGAAACGCGTATCTGTGTTACAAATGCCCCAGGCACAACGTTTAACCATATTTTTGATAAAACTACGACGGTAATAGCCTGCCGAGACCAAAAATATGAGACGGCTGTGTTAAAGTCAATGGAGCGCTGTGAAAAAGTGTCGGACCTCTGTGGGAGCTCGTTCTTGGCTGCGCTGTGATTGGTCAATCTACATTCTAGGGTGTGGCTTAGCCAAAGGCGAATTATGATGTTCTCATGATAATGTTATGTAGCCGATATGACAGGCTTGCGCTGCACATGTTGCACTGAACTGTATTTTCATTTTTTTGAAGTGATTCCAATCATATTTCAAGCATTTCATAATCATCATGTTGAACAGTGCGCATCTGAAGCGTCTCAGCTGAAGGAAATAATACATTATTTATCAGCTTTAAAATATCAGACACATTTTATTATCGGGCCGATAACGATAACATTAAAAATGAACCGATACCGATATGGTGGCCGATATATCGTGCATCCCTAGTGCACCAAGTAAAATACATTTAATCATTTGCTTTATGCACTTATACAGTATAACAATACAGACATAGTAATAAACAGCAACATTTATATACAAATAAAAAAAACTGTGTTGGGACTTTTTTGAATCATTGCATTGAGTTTTGAATTGATTCCCTGAAATGGAGAGTTTGGAGTGTGTTTTGGTGTGTGCAGGGTTTCCAGGTGCTGGTCGAGAGCGAGTGGTTGGATTACGGGCATAAGTTTGCCGAGCGCTGTGGTCACGCTGAGAACGCGTCCGATGTGAACGAGCGCTGTCCTGTGTTCCTGCAGTGGCTCGACTGCGTTCATCAGCTCCAGAGGCAGTTCCCATGCTCCTTTGAGTTCAACGAGGCCTTTCTGGTACTCACTCTCATTGCTGTGCTTGTTTAGATTAACATGCATGCTTTATTACACACTGCAAAAAATGCTTTTCTTACTCAGTATTTTTGTCTTGTTTCCAGGCCAAACATCTAAAAATGCTTAAATCAAGATGTATTTTTGTCCTGTTTCAGTCCAAACATCTAAAAATTCTTAAATCAAGATGTATTTTTGTCTTGTTTCAGTCCAAATATCTAAATATTCTTAAATGAAGATTCATTTTTCTTGTTTCCAGTCCAAATAACAAAAAAATTCTTAAATCTAGATGTATTTTTGTCCTGTTTCAGTCCAAACATCTAAAAATTCTTAAATCAAGATGTATTTTTGTCTTGTTTCAGTCCAAATATCTAAATATTCTTAAATCAAGATTCATTTTTGTCTTGTTTCAGTCCAAATATCTAAATATTCTTAAATCAAGATGTATTTTTGTCTTGTTTCAGTCCAAATATCTAAATATTCTTAAATGAAGATTCATTTTTCTTGTTTCCAGTCCAAATAACAAAAAAATTCTTAAATCTAGATGTATTTTTGTCCTGTTTCAGTTCAAATATCTAAATATTCTTAAATCAAGATTCATTTTTGTCTTGTTTCAGTCCAAATATCTAAATATTCTTAAATCTAGATGTATTTTTGTCTTGTTTCAGTTCAAACATCTAAAAATTCTTAAATCTAGATGTATTTTTGTCTTGTTTCAGTCCAAATAACTAAAAATTCTTAAATGAAGATTCATTTTTCTTGTTTCCAGTCCAAATAACAAAAAAAAAATCTTAAATCAAGATGTATTTTTGTCTTGTTTCAGTCCAAATATCTAAAAATTATTGAATCTCTAGATGTATTTTTGTCTTGTTTCAGTCCAAACATCTAAAAATTCTTAAATCAAGATTAATTTTTGTCTTGTTTCAGTCCAAATATCTAAAAGTTCTTAAATGAAGATTCATTTTTCTTGTTTCCAGTCCAAATAACAAAATATTCTTAAATCAAGATGTATTTTTGTCTTGTTTCAGTCCAAATATCTAAAAATTCTTAAATGAAGATTCATTTTTCTTGTTTCCAGTCCAAATAACAAAAAATTCTTAAATCAAGATTAATTTTTAGATATTTAGACTGGAAACAAGACACAAATACCGAGTAAGAGTATGATTTTGTTCAGTGTGCATCACAACCAGGGCTGTGTTTGTGCCTTTAGGTGAAGTTGGCGCAGCACACGTACTCGTGTCTGTTCGGGACGTTCCTGTGCAACAGTGTGAAGGAGCGAGAGGATCAGTGTGTTCAGGAGAAGACGTGCTCGGTGTGGACTCTCCTGAGGCCGGAGAACTCATCGTTCCTCAACATCCTCTACTCACCGCGCTCAGAGACCGTACGTCTGCTGGACTCACAGATACGGCTTATCACAGTTCACTACACACTTTAGCTATTTAAAATAAAATGATATTTAAAAAAAAATATGAAATAAATACAATATAAAATATGAAATAAATAATATTAATATAAAACAAATGAAATAAAATATAAAATAAATTAAAATATTTAAATCAGTCGATTAATGAGAAATGAATGAACATTTCTCTTTTTCATCTGGTTTAAATTGATGTACTAAAATTACTAAAACTGAAATAAAAATTAATAAATGTTATATAGACGTTTAAAAAACACAACTAATAAAAATGACAAAACATCAAATTTATTATCACATAATATATATATATATATATATATATAAATATTTGTCAAAATACAGATATTGACAAATACAAGAAGTTTTGTAAAATGATAAACCTTGCATTTCAAACTTATTTTATTTTTATTTCTCATTTGGTTCAAATTACTAAAACTGAAATAAAAAATAATACATTTTATATAGAATATTTATATAAACAGCTAATAAAAATGACAAAAGATCAAAATTAATAACACTAAAATAAAACTAAACTATAATATAGCAGTGATATTAGAATATCGAGCTTATATATCAACTTATTTCAACGCTGATAATAATCATAAATGTTTCTTGAGCATCAGATCATCATATTAGAGTGATTTCTGAAGGATCATGTGACACTGAAGACTGGAGTAATGATGCTGGAAATTCACAGGAATGAATTACACTTTACTGTATATTCACATAGAAAACAGCTGATTTACATTAGAATATTTCAGTATTTTTACTGTATTTTTGCTCAAATAAACACAGCCTCACTCTCCGTCAGGTTCTGCACCCAGTGTGTCACGTGAGGAACCTGATGCTGTGGAGCGCCGTCTACCTGCCTAACTCCGCCCCCTCCACGCCTTCTGACGAGTCATGTGTGCCTAACTCCGCCCCCTCAGCCTCAGCTGTGAGCAGGTAATGACACGTGACTTATGCGTTTCCTTGTCTGAACACATTTTCAGTAGAGATGCACGATACATCGGCCACCATATCGGTATCGGCCGATATTGGGTAATTTTTAATGTTAGCGTTATCGGCCCGATAATAAAATGTGTCTGATATATTAAAGCTGATAAATAATGTATTATTTCCTTCAGCTGAGACGCTTCAGATGCGCACTGTTCAACATGATGATTATGAATTGCTTGAAATATGATTGGAATCAATTCAAAAAAAGGAAAATACAGTTCAGTGCAACATGTGCAGCGCAAGCCTGTCATATCGGCTACATAACATTATCATGAGAACATCATAATTGTGTGTTTGGGACGTGGATTTTAATGATGAGACTTTTGTTTTTGTAATCAGGGTCTCAAAAATTATTAAAAAATTTGGATTTAGATTTATCGTCCAATATATCGGTTATTGGCTTTCAAATATAAAGAATTATCGGTTATCGGCTTTCAAATATAAAGAATTACCGGTTATCGGCTTTCAAATATAAAGAATTATCGGTTATCAGCCTTTAAGTATAAAGAATTATCGGTTATCGGCTTTCCAGTATAAAGAATAATCGGTTATCGGCTTTCAAATATAAAGAATTATCGGTTATCAGCCTTTAAGTATAAAGAATTATCGGTTATCAGCCTTTAAGTATAAAGAATTATCGGTTATCAGCCTTTAAGTATAAAGAATTATCGGTTATCAGCCTTTAAGTATAAAGAACTATCGGTTATCGGCTTTCCAGTATAAAGAATAATCGGTTATCGGCTTTCAAATATAAAGAATTATCGGTTATCAGCCTTTAAGTATAAAGAATTATCGGTTATCGGCTTTCAAATATAAAGAATTATCGGTTATCAGCCTTTAAGTATAAAGAATTATCGGTTATCGGCTTTCCAGTATAAAGAATAATCGGTTATCGGCTTTCAAATATAAAGAATTATCGGTTATCAGCCTTTAAGTATAAAGAATTATCGGTTATCGGCTTTCAAATATAAAGAATTATCGGTTATCAGCCTTTAAGTATAAAGAATTATCGGTTATTGGCTTTCCAGTATAAAGAATTATCGGTTATCAGCCTTTAAGTATAAAGAATTATTGGTTATTGGCTTTCAAATATAAAGAATTATCGGTTATCAGCCTTTAAGTATAAAGAATTATCGGTTATTGGCTTTCAAATATAAAGAATTATTGGTATCGGCCAAAATTTTTATATCGGTGCATCCCTAATTTTGACCCTTTAACCACTTTTCACTCATTTCTCCACTTAAGCGTTCCTGTAGCTCAAACTGTAGAGCATTAAGCTGGTGTGTTTTCTCTTCAGGTTACCAAAGACTCGGTCGTACGATGATCTGCACACATCGTGTGAGGGTTCGACCCCGCCCCGCCGCAGCAGCGACCCCAGCCGGACTGAGAAGTGGCAGGACCGTCTGAGCGCGATGAGGAGCGCGACCAAAGAACCGGACAAGAGCCGGCCCGATCCGAGACTCGGCTTACTCACCAGCGACTCTGACGCATTAAAGGGGGCGGAGCTTTCTGTGACTGACAGCCAAATGGAACAGGAAGTGAGAGAGGAGGGTAACAGGAAGCTGGAAGTTGTAAATAACACGCCTGCCTTCGATATTCCAGATCATTTTGAGAGTGAGGACCAAAGGTTTGGATCACCAGAAGATATTAAAGATCACGCTGTGGAACGTTCCACTAAATCCCAGCATCCTCTTCCCTCTCACGAAAACAGCGAGTTGCTATCAAACGGGTTAGATCTAAATAATCACGCCCCCTTTACAATTACCCATGATCCTTCAGAATCTAGCAGCCAATCTTCCATGGAGAGTTCTTCCAGTCCGAACCACACCCTCAACGGCGTCTGCTCACCTTCCCAGCATCCCGTTCATCCGCTTTCGGCCAATCAGGACGGGTTGAGTGTTCACAGCGACGCTGTACAGGTGCGCCTGCGAGAGATGGAGGCGGGGCATCAGCTGCAGGTGGAGACGCTGAAGAAACAGGTGCATGAGCTCTGGAGCCGTCTGCACGTCAACGGGAAGCTGGTGAGGAACACACACACACACACACACACTCGCTACTCTATGCAATTCCTGTGTTATTGAAACGCTTTAGTGATGGTAAATCTACGGTGGCCTGGTAGAGCACAACACAGTGAAATTTAAAAAGGAAATCAAACGAAAAAACGCAATCAAGCCACAACATAATGAAATCAAGCAACAACACAAATCAAGCACCAACACAATGAAATCAAGCCACACCACAATGAAATTAAGCCACAACACAATGAAATCAGGCCACAACATGACGAAATCAAGCAACAACACAATGAAATTAAGCCACAACACAATGAAATCAGGCCACAACATGACGAAATCAAGCAACAACACAACGAAATCAGGCCACAACACAACGAAATCAAGCCACAACACAACGAAATCAAGCCACAACATGACGAAATCAAGCAACAACACAACGAAATCAAGCCACACCACAATGAAATCAAGCCACAACACAACGAAATCAGGCCACAACACAACGAAATCAGGCCACAACACAACGAAATCAAGCCACAACACAACGAAATCAAGCCACAACACAACGAAATCAGGCCACAACACAACAAAATCAAGCCCCAACACAACGAAATCAAGCCACAACACAACAAAATCAAGCCACAACACAACGAAATCAGGCCACAACACAACGAAATTAAGCCACAACACAACGAAATCAGGCCACAACACAACGAAATCAAGCCACAACACAAAGAAATCAAGCAACAACACAATGAAATCAAGCCACAACACAATGAAATCAGGCCACAACACAACGAAATCAAGCCACAACACAAAGAAATCAAGCAACAACACAATGAAATCAAGCCACAACACAATGAAATCAGGCCACAACACAACGAAATCAGGCAACAACACAACGAAATCAAGCCACAACACAACAAAATCAAGCCACAATACAAATAAAACCAAGCAACAACACAACGAAATCAAGCCACAACACAACGAAATCAAGCCACAACACAACGAAATCAAGCCACAACACAACGAAATCAAGCCACAACACAACGAAATCAAGCCACAAGACAAAGAAATCAAGCAACAACACAACGAAATCAAGCCACAACACAACAAAATCAAGCCACAACACAACAAAATCAAGCCACAAGACAAAGAAATCAAGCAACAACAACGAAATCAAGCCACAACACAACGAAATCAAGCCACAACACAACGAAATCAAACAACAACACAATGAAATCAAGCCACAACACAATGAAATCAAGCAACACAATGAACTCAAGCCACAACACAACGAAATCAAGCCACAACACAATGAAATCAAGCCACAACACAACGAAATCAAGCAACACAATAAAATCAGGCCACAACACAACAAAATCAAGCCACAACACAACGAAATCAGGCCACAACACAACGAAATCAAGCCACAACACAACGAAAAATCAAGCCACAACACAACAAAATCAGGCCACAACACAACAAAATCAGGCCACAACACAACGTAATCAAGCCACAACACAACGAAATCAAGCCACAACACAACAAAATCAGGCCACAACACAACGTAATCAAGCCACAACAAAACGAAATCAAGCCACAACACAACGTAATCAAGCCACAACACAACGAAAAATCAAGCAACAACACAACAAAATCAGGCCACAACACAACAAAATCAGGCCACAACACAACAAAATCAAGCCACAACACAACGAAATCAGGCCACAACACAACGAAATCAAGCCACAACACAACGTAATCAGGCCACAACACAACGAAAAATCAAGCAACAACACAACAAAATCAGGCCACAACACAACGTAATCAAGCCACAACACAACGTAATCAAGCCACAACACAACGAAAAATCAAGCAACACAACAAAATCAAGCAACAACACAACAAAATCAGGCCACAACACAATGAAATCAGGCCACAACATGACGAAATCAAGCAACAACACAACGAAATCAGGCCACAACACAACGAAATCAGGCCACAACATGACGAAATCAAGCCACAACACAACGAAATCAAGCCACAACACAACGAAATCAGGCCACAACACAACGAAATCAGGCCACAACACAACGAAATCAAGCCACAACACAACGAAATCAAGCCACAACACAACGAAATCAGGCCACAACACAACAAAATCAAGCCACAACACAACGAAATCAAGCCACAAGACAAAGAAATCAAGCAACAACACAACGAAATCAAGCCACAACACAACAAAATCAAGCCACAACACAACAAAATCAAGCCACAAGACAAAGAAATCAAGCAACAACAACGAAATCAAGCCACAACACAACGAAATCAAGCCACAACACAACGAAATAAAACAACAACACAATGAAATCAAGCCACAACACAATGAAATCAAGCAACACAATGAACTCAAGCCACAACACAACGAAATCAAGCCACAACACAATGAAATCAAGCCACAACACAACGAAATCAAGCAACACAATGAAATCAGGCCACAACACAACAAAATCAAGCCACAACACAACGAAATCAGGCCACAACACAACGAAATCAAGCCACAACACAACGAAAAATCAAGCCACAACACAACAAAATCAGGCCACAACACAACAAAATCAGGCCACAACACAACGTAATCAAGCCACAACACAACAAAATCAAGCCACAACACAACAAAATCAGGCCACAACACAACGTAATCAAGCCACAACAAAACGAAATCAAGCCACAACACAACGTAATCAAGCCACAACACAACGAAAAATCAAGCAACAACACAACAAAATCAGGCCACAACACAACAAAATCAGGCCACAACACAACAAAATCAAGCCACAACACAACGAAATCAGGCCACAACACAACGAAATCAAGCCACAACACAACGTAATCAGGCCACAACACAACGAAAAATCAAGCAACAACACAACAAAATCAGGCCACAACACAACGTAATCAAGCCACAACACAACGTAATCAAGCCACAACACAACGAAAAATCAAGCAACAACACAACAAAATCAGGCCACAACACAACAAAATCAGGCCACAACACAACGAAATCAGGCCACAACACAACGAAATCAAGCCACAACACAACGAAATCAAGCCACAACACAACAAAATCAGGCCACAACACAACGTAATCAAGCCACAACACAATGAAATCAAGCCACAACACAACGTAATCAAGCCACAACACAACGAAAAATCAAGCAACAACACAACAAAATCAGGCCACAACACAACAAAATCAGGCCATAACACAACAAAATCAGGCCACAACACAACGAAATCAAGCCACAACACAACAAAATCAGGCCACAACACAACGTAATCAAGCCACAACACAACGAAATCAAGCCACAACACAACGTAATCAAGCCACAACACAACGAAAAATCAAGCAACAACACAACAAAATCAGGCCACAACACAACAAAATCAGGCCACAACACAACGAAATCAGGCCACAACACAACGAAATCAAGCCACAACACAACGTAATCAGGCCACAACAACACAACAAAATCAGGCCACAACACAACGAAATCAAGCCACAACACAACAAAATCAGGCCACAACACAACGTAATCAAGCCACAACACAACGAAATCAAGCCACAACACAACGAAATCAGGCCACAACACAACGAAAAATCAAGCAACAACACAACAAAATCAGGCCACAACACAACAAAATCAGGCCACAACACAACAAAATCAAGCCACAACACAACGAAATCAGGCCACAACACAACGAAATCAAGCCACAACACAACGTAATCAAGCCACAACACAACGAAATCAAGCCACAACACAACGTAATCAAGCCACAACACAACGAAAAATCAAGCAACAACACAACAAAATCAGGCCACAACACAACAAAATCAGGCCACAACACAACGAAATCAGGCCACAACACAACGAAATCAAGCCACAACACAACGTAATCAGGCCACAACAACACAACAAAATCAGGCCACAACACAACGAAATCAAGCCACAACACAACAAAATCAGGCCACAACACAACGTAATCAAGCCACAACACAACGAAATCAAGCCACAACACAACAAAATCAGGCCACAACACAACGAAAAATCAAGCAACAACACAACAAAATCAGGCCACAACACAACAAAATCAGGCCACAACACAACAAAATCAAGCCACAACACAACGAAATCAGGCCACAACACAACGAAATCAAGCCACAACACAACGTAATCAAGCTACAACACAACGAAATCAAGCCACAACACAACGAAATCAGGCCACAACACAACGTAATCAAGCCACAACACAACGAAATCAAGCCACAACACAACGTAATCAAGCCACAACACAACGAAAAATCAAGCAACAACACAACAAAATCAGGCCACAACACAACAAAATCAGGCCACAACACAACAAAATCAAGCCACAACACAACGAAATCAGGCCACAACACAAGGAAATCAAGCCACAACACAACGTAATCAGGCCACAACACAACGAAAAATCAAGCAACAACACAACAAAATCAGGCCACAACACAACGTAATCAAGCCACAACACAACGTAATCAAGCCACAACACAACGAAAAATCAAGCAACAACACAACAAAATCAGGCCACGACACAACGAAATCAAGCCACAACACAACGAAATCAGGCCACAACACAACGAAATCAAGCCACAACACAACGTAATCAAGCCACAACACAACGAAATCAAGCCACAACACAACGTAATCAAGCCACAACACAACGAAATCAAGCCACAACACAACGAAATCAAGCCACAACACAACGTAATCAAGCCACAACACAACGAAATCAAGCCACAACACAACGTAATCAAGCCACAACACAACGAAATCAAGCCACAACACAACGAAATCAAGCCACAACACAACGAAATCAGGCCACAACACAACGAAATCAGGCCACAACACAACAAAATCAGGCCACAACACAACGTAATCAAGCCACAACACAACGAAATCAAGCCACAACACAACGTAATCAAGCCACAACACAACAAAATCAGGCCACAACACAACAAAATCAAGCCACAACACAACGAAATCAGGCCACAACACAACGAAATCAAGCCACAACACAACGTAATCAGGCCACAACACAACGAAAAATCAAGCAACAACACAACAAAATCAGGCCACAACACAACGAAATCAAGCCAAAATATAAAGAAATCAGGCCACAACACAACGAAATCAGGCCACAACACAACGAAATCAGGCCACAACACAACAAAATCAGGCCACAACACAATGAAATCAGGCCACAACACAACAAAATCAGGCCACAACACAATAAAATCAGGCAACAACACAACGAAATCAGGCCACAACACAACAAAATCAAGCCACAACACAACGTAATCAAGCCACAACACAACGAAAAATCAAGCAACAACACAACAAAATCAGGCCACAACACAACAAAATCAGGCCACAACACAACGAAATCAGGCCACAACACAACGAAATCAAGCCACAACACAACGTAATCAGGCCACAACAACACAACAAAATCAGGCCACAACACAACGAAATCAAGCCACAACACAACAAAATCAGGCCACAACACAACGTAATCAAGCCACAACACAACGAAATCAAGCCACAACACAACAAAATCAGGCCACAACACAACGAAAAATCAAGCAACAACACAACAAAATCAGGCCACAACACAACAAAATCAGGCCACAACACAACAAAATCAAGCCACAACACAACGAAATCAGGCCACAACACAACGAAATCAAGCCACAACACAACGTAATCAAGCCACAACACAACAAAATCAAGCCACAACACAACGTAATCAAGCCACAACACAACGAAAAATCAAGCAACAACACAACAAAATCAGGCCACAACACAACAAAATCAGGCCACAACACAACGAAATCAGGCCACAACACAACAAAATCAAGCCACAACACAACGTAATCAGGCCACAACAACACAACAAAATCAGGCCACAACACAACGAAATCAAGCCACAACACAACAAAATCAGGCCACAACACAACGTAATCAAGCCACAACACAACGAAATCAAGCCACAACACAACAAAATCAGGCCACAACACAACGAAAAATCAAGCAACAACACAACAAAATCAGGCCACAACACAACAAAATCAGGCCACAACACAACAAAATCAAGCCACAACACAACGAAATCAGGCCACAACACAACGAAATCAAGCCACAACACAACGTAATCAAGCTACAACACAACAAAATCAGGCCACAACACAACAAAATCAGGCCACAACACAACAAAATCAAGCCACAACACAACGAAAAATCAAGCAACAACACAACGAAATCAAGCCACAACACAACGAAATCAGGCCACAACACAACGTAATCAAGCCACAACACAACGAAATCAAGCCACAACACAACGTAATCAAGCCACAACACAACGAAAAATCAAGCAACAACACAACAAAATCAGGCCACAACACAACAAAATCAGGCCACAACACAACAAAATCAAGCCACAACACAACGAAATCAGGCCACAACACAACGAAATCAAGCCACAACACAACGTAATCAGGCCACAACACAACAAAAAATCAAGCAACAACACAACAAAATCAGGCCACAACACAACGTAATCAAGCCACAACACAACGTAATCAAGCCACAACACAACGAAAAATCAAGCAACAACACAACAAAATCAGGCCACGACACAACGAAATCAAGCCACAACACAACGAAATCAGGCCACAACACAACGAAATCAAGCCACAACACAACGTAATCAAGCCACAACACAACGAAATCAAGCCACAACACAACGTAATCAAGCCACAACACAACGAAATCAAGCCACAACACAACGAAATCAAGCCACAACACAACGAAATCAGGCCACAACACAACGAAATCAGGCCACAACACAACAAAATCAGGCCACAACACAACGTAATCAAGCCACAACACAACGAAATCAAGCCACAACAAAAAAGTAATCAAGCCACAACACAACGAAAAATCAAGCAACAACACAACAAAATCAGGCCACAACACAACAAAATCAGGCCACAACACAACAAAATCAAGCCACAACACAACGAAATCAGGCCACAACACAACGAAATCAAGCCACAACACAACGTAATCAGGCCACAACACAACGAAAAATCAAGCAACAACACAACAAAATCAGGCCACAACACAACGAAATCAAGCCAAAATATAAAGAAATCAGGCCACAACACAACGAAATCAGGCCACAACACAACGAAATCAGGCCACAACACAACAAAATCAGGCCACAACACAATGAAATCAGGCCACAACACAACAAAATCAGGCCACAACACAATAAAATCAGGCAACAACACAACAAAATCAGGCCACAACACAACGAAATCAGGCCACAACACAACGAAATCAAGCCACAACACAACGTAATCAGGCCACAACACAACGAAAAATCAAGCAACAACACAACAAAATCAGGCCACAACACAACGAAATCAAGCCAAAATATAAAGAAATCAGGCCACAACACAACGAAATCAGGCCACAACACAACGAAATCAGGCCACAACACAACAAAATCAGGCCACAACACAATGAAATCAGGCCACAACACAACAAAATCAGGCCACAACACAATAAAATCAGGCAACAACACAACAAAATCAGGCCACAACACAACAAAATCAGGCCACAACAGAACGTAATCAGGCCACAACACAACGAAATCAAGCCAAAATATAAAGAAATCAGGCCACAACACAACGAAATCAAGCCACAACTGGGGCCGTTTGTTGGCATTTTTGTTGTTTACTTAAAGATTTAAAACCCAAGCATCGACTTTTTACCACAGTTTTCAATAATAAGTGATACATTGTTCATAATAAATTAATTTGTGTCAAGATTGCACCACACTGTAGTTATCGTTATTGTCGGTCATTAAAGTTATAATAGTTATCATTATAGTTAACATTGTGGTTATCATAGTTAACATTATAGTTATAATCGTGCGGTAGTCATGATTAAAGTTATCGTTATAGTGATTGCCCGTGGTGTAAACAGGCCGTTAATCTCACTAACTTTAGCAGCTGTAACACTTCTTCCTCTCTGGGCCACAGACGTCTCTTCCGGACGCGGAGAATAACCTGGAGGTGCAGCGCTGCGGCGCCACTGATCTCCTGTCCGAGGCCAGCTGGGACCAGATCGGACAACGGGAAGCAGAGGTGAGCCGGGAAGAGAACGGACGTCACACTGCAAAACATGCTGTTCTTACTCAGTATTTTTGTCTTGTTTCCAGTCCAAATATCTACAAATTCTTAAATCAAGATGCATTTACTAAAGTAGTAAAATGCCATAAGATATTATGTGTTGTTTTCTGGGGGGAAAATCAAAATGAAGTGAGTTTTTGCTTAAAACAAGCACAATTATCTGCCAATGGGGTCAGAAAAATAATCTTAAAGGGATAGTTCGGCCAAAAATGATATTTAACACATGCATTACTCACCCTCAAGCCGTTCGAGATGCATATGTCAATCTTGTTTCAGACGAACACATTTTCAGTTATTTTAGAAAATGTCTTAGACCCTTCAGTGGATATAATGTGAAGCAATGGGGTCCACCTCCTTCAAGTCCCAAAATGAACACGCGTCGATCGTTGCCGGAAGTCAGATATTTTCATTTATAAAGTTTTAAATATGTATATTTTTACGACAAAACCGCACGGATTACCCTCAGAAGGCCTTCGTTTATCCCCCTGGAGCCGGATGGATTACTTTTGTGAAGGATGTATACACATTTTGGGACTTGAAGGAGGTCGACCCCATTGCTTTACATTATATCCACTGAAGGGTCTAAGACATTTTCTAAAATAACTGAAAATGTGTTCGTCTGAAACAAGATTGACATATGCATCTCGAACGGCTTGAGGGTGAGTAATGCATGTGTTAAATATCATTTTTGGCCGAACTATCCCTTTAAAGGGCCCCTATTATGCTTTTTTAAAGTTTCCTAATGTTGTTGTGGAGTCTCCTACAACATGTTTACATGCATCAAAGTAAAAAAAAAAAAAAACTGTTTAATTTCCTCATAATATACATTTGCACATCATCACATTTTCAATGATTCTCAAGCGACTCGTGAGTTGAATCTATCCCACTAAATCCCTCCTTTCTGTGAGCTACTCTGCTCTGATTGGCCAGACAGCTCAGTCTGTTGTGATTGGCCTACTCTGCTCTGATTGGCCAGACAGCTCAGCTAACTGATTATTTTACTTGTACTAATTTATTTACCAAGTATTTTTCTAATATATTGCGGTGAATACGTGGAAATTGTATCAATAACAGTGCATGTGTGCGATGTACATTAGCCGAGATCTAGAGTGAATGACTGATTTAACATAAACGTTAATAAAACAAATATTTCCACAAAATAGTGAGAACGACAGACAATCTGCATTAATAGACACAGTTATAGTAATAGTGGCCCACAGCTGATCAGCAGAAGTACTTCAGTAAGATAATGTGAGTTAGCAGGAGACCTACATAAAACTCAAAATTGACTCAGAGTCGACTCTTACTAATATCTAATGGCATTTTACTCATCTATTAAATTGCTTCTTAATTTAAGAATTTTTTGATATTTAGACAAGAAACCAGATAAAAATACTGAGTAAGAACATCTTTTTTTGCAGTGTACTGGAGTTCACAAATTACCTCTGTTTGTGCGCTTTTCCTGAAGCATTTTCCATTATTAACAGCCAGTCGTTCTGTTCGATCTGCTCACGTTACTCTCTGACTGAGGGAAATCATGGTTGAAGAATATTTTCAGCTGATGATGTAATAGGTGGGTGTGGTTCTGAAGCTCCGCCTTCTTTGAGGAGTGAATCTTCGGTTCAGTCCGTCGAGGTCATACGCGAGTAAAGACATGAACACACTGAGCGCTGCTTTAGAGTAGAAACTGAACCTGTAATTCTAATCAAAAGCGACACAAACAGTTTTTCATGCTTATTTTAATGAGACAAATTTACATATTCATCTAAATATGGGCGGCGTCAGGATGTTCATTAACAGTATAATCATATAACAGTACATCTGGTACCTGTTGACCGAAACAATGTTGCTGTCTGGGCTTAATGTGTGTTGCAGTGTTGTGTGTAACTCATTACAAGTAACTTGAGTTATGTAATCGGATTACTTTTTCAAGTAACTAGTAAAGTAACGCATTACTTTTAAAATTTACAGCAAAATATCTGAGTTACTTTTTCAAATTAGTAACGCAAGTTACTTTTTTTTCACATTTATTGACTGACAGCTCTCCTGTCCTCATGTTGAGACGAATCATTAGTGCAGAGGTGTGTGTGTGTGTGTGAACATGATGGTTATTGTAGTTCTAGACTAAATGCGAACATTTCCTCATCTCACTTGCACAAAAAAAGATTCAATATTCCTCAAAATGAATAAAATGCAGAATCAGAATACTATGCAACACTAAATATGTTAAATTAAACATACATTTATTGACCAATGTATTTGCTTCTGACCTTCGATGATTCAGTTAAACCATAAGCTAAAAGCACTATAGATTTTTTAGTTTTTATTGGTAAAGTCTTTTTTCTCCTGCGTCTTATTCTTCTGTTCTCCAGAAAAGGTTTGGTTGAGCGGCTCCGTCTCCTGTACTGTACTACTGTACTCTTACTCTACTACTGTACTCTACTCTAACTCTACTGTACTCTTACTCTACTACTGTACTCTACTCTACTCTTACTCTACTGTACTCTTACTCTACTACTGTACTCTAACTCTACTACTGTACTCTACTCTACTCTACTGTACTCTTACTCTACTACTGTACTCTACTCTAACTCTACTACTGTACTCTTACTCTACTACTGTACTCTACTCTTACTCTACTGTACTCTTACTCTACTACTGTACTCTACTCTAACTCTACTACTGTACTCTTACTCTACTACTGTACTATACTCTACTGTACTCTACTCTACTCTTACTCTACTGTACTCTTACTCTACTACTGTACTCTACTCTAACTCTACTACTGTACTCTACTCTAACTCTACTACTGTACTCTTACTCTACTACTGTACTATACTCTACTGTACTCTACTCTACTCTTACTCTACTACTGTACTCTACTCTTACTCTACTGTACTCTTACTCTACTACTGTACTATACTCTTACTCTACTGTACTCTACTACTGTACTATACTCTACTGTACTCTACTACTGTACTCTACTCTTACTCTACTGTACTCTTACTCTACTACTGTACTATACTCTTACTCTACTGTACTCTTACTCTACTACTGTACTCTACTCTACTACTGTACTCTACCCTTTACTCTACTACTGTACTCTACTCTTACTCTACTGTACTCTACTCTACTACTGTATTCTACTACTGTACTCTACTCTTACTCTACTCTACTACTGTACTCTACTCTTACTCTACTACTGTACTCTACTCTTACTGTACTGTACTCTACTGTACTACTGTACTCTACTACTGTACTCTACTCTTACTCTACTACTGTACTCTACTCTTACTCTACTACTGTACTCTACTCTACTCTTACTCTACTGTACTCTACTCTTACTCTACTACTGTACTCTACTCTACTACTGTACTCTACCCTTTACTCTACTACTGTACTCTACTCTTACTCTACTGTACTCTACTCTACTACTGTACTCTACTCTTACTCTACTCTACTACTGTACTCTACTCTTACTCTACTACTGTACTCTACTCTTACTGTACTGTACTCTACTGTACTACTGTACTCTACTCTACTCTACTACTGTACTCTACTCTTGTACTCTACTCTTACTCTACTACTGTACTCTACTCTTACTCTACTGTACTCTACTCTACTACTGTACTCTACTCTTACTCTACTACTGTACTCTACTCTACTACTGTACTCTACTCTTACTCTACTACTGTACTCTACTCTTACTGTACTGTACTCTACTCTACTACTGTACTCTACTCTTACTCTACTACTGTACTCTACTCTTACTCTACTACTGTACTCTACTCTTACTCTACTACTGTACTCTACTCTTACTCTACTGTACTCTACTCTACTACTGTACTCTACTCTTACTCTACTACTGTACTCTACTCTACTACTGTACTCTACTCTTACTCTACTACTGTACTCTACTCTTACTGTACTGTACTCTACTCTTACTCTACTACTGTACTCTACTCTTACTCTACTGTACTCTACTCTACTACTGTACTCTACTCTTACTCTACTACTGTACTCTACTCTACTCTTACTCTACTACTGTACTCTACTCTTACTGTACTGTACTCTACTACTGTACTCTACTCTTACTCTACTACTGTACTCTACTCTACTCTTACTCTACTACTGTACTCTACTGTACTCTACTCTTACTCTACTACTGTACTATACTCTACTGTACTCTACTCTTACTCTACTACTGTACTATACTCCACTGTACTCTACTCTTACTCTACTACTGTACTATACTCTACTACTGTACTCTACTACTGTACTCTACTCTTACTCTCCTCTACTGTACTCTACCTCTCCTCTACTGTACTCTACCTCTCCTCTACTGTACTCTACTCTTACTCTCCTCTACTGTACTCTACCTCTCCTCTACTGTACTCTACTCTTACTCTCCTCTACTGTACTCTACCTCTCCTCTACTGTACTCTACTCTTAGTCTCCTCTACTGTACTCTACTCTTACTCTCCTCTACTGTACATGCGTAGTCTTTACATTTGCCCAAAAATATTACTTTTTTGTTATTAAAAAACAAGCCCAGCCCAGGTGGAAAAAAAGTATAGCAAAAGTAACAACTCATTTCTTAAAAAGTAACTAAGTAACGCAATTAGTTTTTAACGCAATATTGTAATGCGTTACTTTTCTAAGTAACTGTCCCCAACACTGGTGTGTTGTGTGTTGACGGGTTGTGTGTGTGTCCAGGTGACGCAGTGGTACTCGGATCACCCGGCGTCCCGTTGCTATGGCTGCGAGAGGACATTCTGGCTGGCGGGGAAGCATCACTGCAGGTGAGACCCGGATACACTCGGGAGTTACAGGAACATTCCCCCTTCATCAATGCGCAGTGGTAAAACACTCACTATACAGCCACAACCATTGGAGTAAGAAAAGTAATCTTGTTTCCATTTAAATGTATATTATTTTTGTGATCCCATTGGCAGTTAATTTTGTCTCTTAATTTGGATTTTTTCCCCCAGAAAACAAGACTTAATATCGTATGTGTGTGTGTAATAAGCAGAATGTGTGTAATAAGCAGAGTGTGTCTGTGTGTTTGTAATAAGCAGTGTACATGTGTTGTGGACCCGCCTATAGGCACACATTACTAACCCTCTCTTTAAATAACAAATAAAATACTGCGCCATTGACTTTACACCAGGTCTCAGTCTATTTCCGTTCCTCAAAATAGCAACCGTCCATCAATGCGCCTGAACACACACTCGTTCTCAGACCAGCAGCCCATGGGGAACAGAAGGACATAGACGCACAGATGGGCGCAAATGCATTTGCTATTTAAACAACGTGTCGCAGGACGTGAAAATGAAAACTGCGTCAGGCTGAAACTAGCAAACACACTTGCGTCGCGCCTGGTGTATGATGGGGACCATAACGTCTTCTGTTGTTAGTTGAAAGCGGTGTTGTGAGTTTGAGTGTCGTCTGACCCGTGTCTCTCTCTCTCTCTGTCTATCTCTTTCTCTCTCTCTCTCGTTCTGCTGCAGCGGCAGAGAGCCGGTTGATGAGGCCTGGTGAGACTTTCCTTCTCTTTCTTTGTCTATCCCTTCTCACACACACACCTGCGTCACTCATTCACATTCCCTTCTCACACACACATGCGTCACTCACTTACATCGTCCTCATCTGTAGCGTCTGAAAACAAACATGCTTGTTCTCACACTAGAGCTTTAACTGCAAATATACACACCAGTGATCCAAAGTCACGTCCATTTCGTATTAATTTACCAGTATAAAAATTACTACACTACCAGTCTGCATTTATTTTGTTGTATTTTTAATCAAATAAATGCAGCCTTGGTGATCAGAAGAGACTTCTTTTAAAAACATTAAAAATCTTACTGATCCCAAACTTTTGATTGGTAGTGTATGTGAAGCTTAAGTACTTTATGAACATTGGAAGTTAATTCCTCACTCTCTCTCTCTCTCTCTTCGCTGCAGGAACTGTGGGAATGTGTTCTGCACGAGCTGCTGTGACCAGAAGGTGGCGCTAGCGAGTCAACAGCTCCGCGAGCCGAACCGCGTGTGTCAGGCGTGTTACGGGCACCTCCGGCCCTCATCCGTTCCTCCTGCGCTCCCGCCGGCAGACCTGGAGCTGGAGAACCCCATCACTGCCAGCTCCAACTGAGCCGGATCCCAGCCGCATCTCAGCCGGATCACACGGAGAACCCCATCACTGCAGCTCCAACTGAGCCGGATCCCAGCCGCATCTCAGCCGGAGAACTGGAGAACCCCATCACTGCCAGCTCCAACTGAGCCGGATCCCAGCCGCATCTCAGCCGGAGAACTGGAGAACCCCATCACTGCCAGCTCCAACTGAGCCGGATCCCAGCCGCATCTCAGCCGGAGAACTGGAGAACCCCATCACTGCCAGCTCCGACTGAGCCGGATCCCAGCCACATCTCAGCCGGAGAACTGGAGAACCCCATCACTGCCAGCACCAACTGAGCCGGATCCCAGCCGCATCTCAGCCGGATCACACGGAGAACCCCATCACTGCAAGCTCCGACTGAGCCGGATCCCAGCCGCATCTCAGCCGGAGAACTGGAGAACCCCATCACTGCCAGCTCCAACTGAGCCGGATCCCAGCCGCATCTCAGCCGGATCACACGGAGAACCCCATCACTGCCAGCTCCAACTGAGCCGGATCCCAGCCGCATCTCAGCCGGAGAACTGGAGAACCCCATCACTGCCAGCTCCAACTGAGCCGGATCCCAGCCGCATCTCAGCCGGATCACACGGAGAACCCCATCACTGCCAGCTCCAACTGAGCCGGATCCCAGCCGCATCTCAGCCGGATCACACGGAGAACCCCATCACTGCAAGCTCCGACTGAGCCGGATCCCAGCCGGAACACACAGAGAACTGGAGAATCCCATCACTGCCAGCTCCAACTGAGCCGGATCCCAGCCGCATCTCAGCCAGAGAACTGGAGAACCCCATCACTGCCAGCTCCAACTGAGCCGGATCCCAGCCGCATCTCAGCCGGAAAACTGGAGAACCCCATCACTGCCAGCTCCAACTGAGCCGGATCCCAGCCGCATCTCAGCCAGAAAACTGGAGAACCCCATCACTGCCAGCTCCGACTGAGCCGGATCCCAGCCGCATCTCAGCCGGAAAACTGGAGAACCCCATCACTGCCAGCTCCGACTGAGCCGGATCCCAGCCGCATCTCAGCCAGAGAACTGGAGAACCCCATCACTGCCAGCTCCAACTGAGCCGGATCCCAGCCGCATCTCAGCCAGAGAACTGGAGAATCCCATCACTGCCAGCTCCAACTGAGCCGGATCCCAGCCGCATCTCAGCCAGAGAACTGGAGAACCCCATCACTGCCAGCTCCGACTGAGCCGGATCCCAGCCGCATCTCAGCCGGAAAACTGGAGAACCCCATCACTGCCAGCTCCGACTGAGCCGGATCCCAGCCACATCTCAGCCGGAGAACTGGAGAACCCCATCACTGCCAGGTCCAACTGAGCCGGATCCCAGCCGCATCTCAGCCGGAGAACTGGAGAACCCCATCACTGCCAGGTCCAACTGAGCCGGATCCCAGCCGCATCTCAGCCGGAAAACTGGAGAACCCCATCACTGCCAGCTCCGACTGAGCCGGATCCCAGCCGGAACACACGGAGAACCGGCTCAACGCCAGCGCTGAAGGGATCGGGATCGAGAGCTCTTCATTTACTCACTCTCATGTGCTTCTGTGGGACCAAAGCGCACATCTAAAGAATGACATGACGGGACTTTCTTCTGTGGATCACAACCCAGGGACTGGATTCACCAAAATATTCGTAAGAAAGAAGTTGATCAAGGGGATGGAAAGGCGTAGCGCCAAACATTAGTCCCAAACTGATGAGTGATAACCTCTTGCAGTGCAGTAGATCCAAAAGGAACTAAAAAATCTGAAAAACGGTCCGCACACGAATATTGGCCAAAAAGCTCACAGGATTTTATTGTCCAGAGGCCACAAGTGCAAGATACGCAAAACGTTTCCAGGCTCAACCCTTCATCAGTGCCAAGCACACTGCGGTAATTTACACACTTATTACCGTAATCCATGTAACACACTGGAATCTGATTTTATCCCATATAAACATATTTACATTTACAAAGTTTTGAATAGAGGATTGTTGTGATATGCATGTATAATAGGGGTGCACGATTCAGAAAATGTCACGATTCGATTCGATACCGATTTTTTGTCTCAAGATTCGATTCAAAAACGATTCTCGATTCAAAAAACGATTCGCAGTATATAAATGTAGTTTACTTTTTCCTATGTGATTGATTGCAGTAGACACAATTTAAAAGAAAAAAAAACACAACAAATTAAATGTAGTTTGATATTACTTTGTCTTCATACAAAAATAAAAACTTTTGCAACTAAAAAGTGCAAAGTGCCAAGCTTTGGCCAGCTTTCAAATACATTTAACTCAAGTTTAAAATAAAACTTAAATAAAAAGCTTTTACATTTAGCTTTAAAGTGCTGTAGTCAGATCAAACAAACAATTATGCTAAATGTGGTTTAAGGACTACTTCAGCTACCAGGTTGACTGTTGAAATGTGAACTCGACTTGAACTTCCTAAAAATATATACTAATGTCATAGAACCCTTGCGAAATAATTTTAAATCGATTTTAAAAAGCCACCGCTACTGGTAACATCTATGGTTAGATTGATTTGTTTAGATCCAGTGAAGTCGTTCATAGGCGTAATTTGCGGGTATCTCCAGTAAACTAGCAGAGCCTTCATTTAGTTCGCTATTAAATAAGAGATCTGTTGTTTTTGAAATCAAGCTGAGCGCTGACAGCGCTCGTTGCCGCTGCTATCAGTGTCATGGATACAGTGTTCTCTGTGGCTCGCGCAGTCTTCACTCGGACGCGCGCTTCATTTCGCCGTTGTGGTTCCGGTGAAATCTCAAAATAAAATGCACACAAACGTGATGAACATATTCGGTTTTGATGAGAGAGAGAAAAAACGATACGAGTGCGGTTTAGAACCCGTAACCTCTGACACGCTTGGCAAAAGATCTACAGACCACATTAAGAACTCAAACATAATCTGCGGATCGATGCATTTATTTACGGGTTGAGCAGAGAGGCTGCACAGTTTGACCAGCGGGCGGCAAGAACTCAAACATAAAACTCCCGACTCAGCCGATTGCCACTCCGCCCGTGCACGCCATAAAAAAAATAATTAAAAAAAGAATCGATTTTTGGAATTATATGAATCGATTCTGAATCGGTAAAGATTGAATCGCGATTCAAAGGTGAATAGATTTTTTTGCACACCCCTAATGTATAATTATGTAAACCATTGATGTAAATATTTTTATATGGGATAAAATCAGATTCCAGTGTGTTACATGGATTACGGTAATGAGTGTGTAAATTACCGTTTTGCACAGCTTTTCACTTTATTTGTGGCCTCTGGACAATAAAATCCTGTGAGCTTTTTGACCAATATTCGTGTGCGGATCTTTTTTCTGATTTTTAAGAAGTTGAGAAATTTTCTTAAGAACATCGTAATTTTTTTTTTCTCAAGAAAATTACAGACTTTGGTGTTTATCTGACTTGCCAAAGACTGATCAACACAACGAAAAACACCTCAAAAGCGCACTAACGTTTGAAACACGTGTTTATTTTGATAATTGCATTAAAAAAAAAGTTTTTCATAATAAACTGGCAGCGATGTCTGTCGCAACTAGCTTGAGGACAGTTCAGGAACCGGATTCACGAAAATCTTCTTAACTCTTTCGCGCCAGCGCTTTTTTTAACTCTTTGGTCAATTTATTCAGTAATGTGTTTCCATTGAGCGCATATGTTTCGCCATTGATCGCTATCATCAGCGTGGATAGTAACAGTAAATCACTGCAAAGCTATTTCTATCTTTTTACTTCTAAACGAAGAGCAAAAAAGAACTTCGTTGTGAGTTTATCGGCGCCTTGATTAACGTTCAGTCTTGTCGTGTGCAGTTCACTTAACGGCCACCGGTGTCACTAATAACACGGGTTCCTGAATCCTACATGCAGCTCCTTTAATATAAATAAACGTTTAATCAAAATAAAAATCATGATAGAGTGCGATTATCAAATCAAATGCTGCATTTTAATTAAGTTGTTACCGAATTTCTAATTTATTCATTCACGTCATGCATAATCATGACCAATCTGTGTTTACATTATAAACAATGGTGTCACTGCAGAGAACACATCGCGAGGAATATATTAATATGCATCATATATAGTCACTAGTGTTATATTGTAATGCTTAGTCGAAGGCTATCTAAACTTTAGTTATTAAATTCTTCTTAAATTTTGACTTTACTATCAAAAAAAAGAAGAAAAAGATAATAACATTCCTCTTTGTTTTGTGAATCCACCCCGATCTCGTTTGGATTATTTTTACGATCATGCTTAAAAAAAAAAAAAATCATATACGTAGTTCATACTTCATACATATGATAGACGAATAGAACGTGTATGCAAATGAGATCTGAAAGTCCCATCCGGCTCTCCGTCCTTTAGTTGCAGACGTTCATGAGGCTGAGGAAACGATTACAGAACTTTAATATCCCTAAACTATTCCTGTCATGATTCGCTCTGACTTTGCAGATCACAAACCAAGAGGAGTTTTGCACACTTGAATCTGTTCATGAACTTTGTATGTATATTGTGTCACATGTACAGCCAATGCAATGAAAGCTTGACGGACTACATGGAGTTTCACGAATGTGAGCAATACGCACAGGATCGGGACGATTATGGAAAAGATCCTTGTTGCGACGACCATCTCAAACGTGACTGCTGTCGCTTTGCCCTGATGAAATCCCCCACAATGCAATGCTGCTGTCTTTCCTCTCTATGTTGGACAGGGTTTGTACGAGCACTGTCGCTTATGGAGTCTGCGGGGTTTGTGTGAATGAAATTAAAGCACAACACACTGCCAACCTGAAGCACGTGTCCGTCTGACTCGCTGATACGAGATCGAGTTTCACTCCTGATTAAAAAAACAGGATTGTTTTGACTCTGAACTTGTTGATTTAGGCTCATTTTTAGGTTGATGAACCTGTAGTCCTGGTTGATAATGTGCAATCTGAATTCTATAGAGAATTTTACTCCTGGTTTACTTCTTACCCTAAAGCTTGACATATTAAATAATAACCCGAGAAATCAATTTTTTGGGGAAATGTAAGTTTAGTGAACCTTTAGAGAAAAAAGAAAGAAAAAAAGTTTGCTTTTGTGGCTCTTATAATGAGAATATCAAAGACAAAACAGCTTAATTTTATAATTTTACTCCGAGGCCCAAACCGGAACAAAAATATGGAGAAATGTATATTTATATGGAGAAAAAGTAATGTAAATCAGTGAGATCTTTATAACAGTAAAGCAGATACTTGCATAAAATGCATATAAATATCTGCTTAGTAAGATTATATTTAAATGATTAGTTTTATGATCAAAGCTCTGTAGTTTTAAAACATATAATGCAATGTTATCTCAATGGTGATTGAGAGATGAACTAATAAACCCTCCCTCAAAAGCCTGATGGTCATATTTGATATTCATGATTTTTATAATAAATGAGTTATGGATAATCAAGTAAACTGAAGTTATGGGGATGAAATGAGTAATTCAAGGCATTCAGCATCTACAGCATGATTTAAAGTCATTATTTTTTAACATTTAATAGGCTTAACTTTCAATTTAAGCAAACTTAAACTAATCTTCACATAAACCCATTATAATAAATGCCTGCAATAAGT